ATATAAAAAAGCTTAAATAATAAAGTTTAAGTATAATATAATTAACTTTAAGTATATAATTTATAATTTAATAATTTAATTAAACTAAATAAGTTAATTATTTTATTAAATTATAAAAGGTAATAATAATTTTACTTAAAAATAAATTATATATATAATATAAAAAATTACTTAATAAAATTATATACTTACTTTTTATTAAAAAAATAATTATTATAAAAGCTCCTAAGTAATAACTATAACTTAATCTTAACTTAAGTAAAATAACTAAGTAAATAACTAAATTTATAATTAATAAAATTATAAATTTATAATTAAAAACTTTAAAAAAGGAAAAACTAAAGTTAAATAAAATAAAATATAAATTAAACTAACTAAAAAGTATTAAAAACCCTAAGCTAAGTAAAAATATTAAGAAAATTATTAAAAAAATTAATAAAGTAGCCTAAAATAATAAATAAAATTTATATAATTATATATATATAGCTAGTTAAACTAATTAATTAATTAAAGGCTATATATATAAAGGTTTTTTATAATTAATTCCTTTTAAGTAATTTATTTTTTATACTTAAGAGAAATACTTAAATTTATAATAATTAATTTATAAATTAATAAAAAAGTTTAGAAATTTTATTAAATTAAATAAATTATAAATATAAGTAAGCTTATATATTAACTTTAGTTTTTTTTATTAATTAAAACTTATAATATTTTTAATTTTATTAATTTAAAAAAGTTTAAAAGTAAAAATAATATATTAATTAAATTACTAAATTATTTTTTTATATTAAAAATAATTTATATAATTAAAAAATCATTTTATATTAATATAATAAAAAAATAATTATATTATATTAAATTAATAAGTTATTTAAATAAAAAAATATTTAAATTCAAAAATTAAATTTTATAAATAAAATAATATTATAAAAACATATAATTACTTTAATATATTAAAATAATTATTAAAAACTTAAGTAAATAAATATTTTAAAACTTTAGTAAAACTTTTAATATAATTATAATTATAAATAAAATAAAATTAAAAATACTTTTATAATTATATTTTAATATAAATATATTTTTTAAAAATTAAATTATAATATTAATAATTATAATAATAAAAAATTAACTTAATAAATAATAAGCTTAATAATTAAAAAAGAGTATTATAATAATTTTAATAATAATATTATAATTTTAATATTATAAAAAATACTTAAATTTATATAAGTAAAATAAAAAAAATATTAAAAATAAAAAGTTTAATTAAAAACCCTAAGTAATTAATAATAGTTTTTATAATTTTAAAAATAAAAATAAAACTAAAATAAAATAATAAAAAAATATAGTAATTTTATTTATAATAAATATATTTTATAAATATTAATTATAAATTAATATAATAATAAGTAAATTCTAAAGTATTTATATTTTTAATATTAATATTTAAATTAAATATAATAAATTAAATATAATAAAAACTTAATTATATAATAAAAATGTAATAGGATTATAGGCCCTAAAGGGCGCTGTAATTTGTTACCTATTATATAGGCTGTTGTAAAGGGAATCCTAGCACAAAGTGCTAGTATTACTGATCTTTTTGAGGTTATTGGCTCAATTGGCACCCTTTCCAATTGCTGTTACAAAAAAATATATAAATTTATTATAAATATTAAAAAAAATTATTAATTTAAATTATTATTATTAATTTCCTTTAAGTTAATATTATTATTAAAATTATTATTACTTTTTTTTAAATTTATAATATTTTTATTATTAAAAGTTATATTTATTATTAAAAAGTTTAGTAAAATTATAATAACTAAATTAAAGAAAAACTATACTTTAGTTTTTAGTTTAAAATCTAAAATTAATTTATAACTTAACTTAATTAACTATTACTAATTAAATTAAACTTTAAAAATTTAAGTTATAAAATATAATTATTAATTAAAGTTTAAAACTAAACTTAAAATATATAAAAAAGCTTAAATAATAAAGTTTAAATATAATATAAATTTTAAATTTATAATTTATAATTTAATAACTTAATTAAATTAAATAAAATTATTTTATTAAGTTATAAAAAGTAGTAATAATTTTTAAAAATAAATTATTTATATAATATTTTTAAAATTAAAAAACTATCTAATAAAATAATATATTTTATATAAAAGTAATAAACTTTTATAATAATTATAAAATAAGTTAATAATTAACTAAAGTTTATTATAAATAATTATAATAATTAAAAATAATAAAAAATTAATAGTAATTATTATTAAAATAATAATTATTATTATAAAAACTTATAATTTTAATATTATTAATATTATAAAAAAAGTTTATTAAAATTTTAAAAATAAATAAAGTAAAAGAAAATAACTTAAATTAATTATTAAAAAAATATAAATTAGTTAAGCTATTAGCTAATAATTATTTAATAAAAGTTTAATAATAATTATTTTAATTTTAATTCTTAAGTAGTTTATTTTTTATATTTAGGAGAGTTTAATTTTATTATTTTATAAAAAAATAAAAAAAAATATAAAACTTAATAATATAAATTATATATTTAATTTTTTATTTTATTTTTATATATTTCTTTTATATATATAAAGGATTAATAAAAATATAAAAAACTTTAAGTTTAAAAACTTTATTTTCTTAATTAAGTTAAATATTACTTAAATAGTAAAATATATTACTTAAATAATAATACTTTTAATAATTTATTAAAAGTTTTAAAATTATTTATATTTTTAAAATTAATATATTATTATATTTTTATATATTTAATTATAAAATATCTTTTTATAAATAATTTTTATTTAAGTTTACTTTTTAATTTTAAAAACTTTATATTTTTCTAAACTTTTATAAAATTATTTAAAACTTAAATTAATATTTTAAATATATTAATATTTTTTAATTTTATAATTTATTTTTTTATTAAAAAATACTTAATTATAATATTTAAATTTAAATTAAATACTTTTTTTAATTATAATAATAATCTTAATTTTTAATAATTATATACTAACTTACTTAAGAGCTTAATATTGTATTTTATTATATAAATTTAAGTTTATAACTATAGAAAATTTATAATTAATTAATATATATTATATAATTATTTAAAATTTAAACTTAAAGAAAAAAATAATTTATTTATAAAAGTTATATTTATTATTAAAAAGTTTAGTAAAATTATAATAATTAACTTAAAGAAAAACTATACCTTAGCCTTTAGTTTAAAATTTAAAATTAATTTATAACTTAAATTAATTAATTATTATTAATTAAATTAAATTTTAAAAATTTATATTATAAAATATAATTAATTAAGGTTTAAAATTAAACTTTAAATATATAAAAAGTATTAAATAATAAAATTTAAATATAATATAAACTTTAAGTTTATAATTTATAATTTAATAACTTAATTAAATTAAATAAATTAATTATTTTATTAAATTATAAATAATAATAATAATTTTACTTAAAAATAAATTATAAAAAAAGTTATATTTATTATTAAAAAGTTTAGTAAAATTATAATAATTAAATTAAAAAAAAACTATATTTTAGCCTTTAATTTAAAATCTAAAATTAATTTATAACTTAATTTAGTTAATTATAATTAACTAAGTTAAATTTTAAAAATTTAAATTATAAAATATAATTATTAATAAAAGTTTAAAACTAAATTTAAAATATATAAAAAAGCTTAAATAATAAAGCTTAAGTATAATATAAACTTTAAGTTTATAACTTATAGTTTAATAACTTAATTAAACTAAATAAGCTAATTATTTTATTAAATTATAAAAAGTAATAATAATTTTATTTTAAAATAAATTATATATATAATATAAAAAATTACTTAATAAAATAATATACTATAAAAATAATAAATTTTTATAATAATTATTATAAAATAAGTTAATAATTAACTAAAGTTTATTATAAATAATTATAATAACTAAAAGTAATAAAAAACTAATAATAATTATTACTAAAATAATAATAATTATTATAAAAACTTATAATTTTAATATTATTAATATTATAAAAAAAGTTTACTAAAGCTTAAAAAATAAATAAAGTAAAAAAAACTAACTTAAATTAATTATAAAAGTAAAAATATAAATTAACTAAATTACTATTAGCTAATAGTTACTAAATAAAAGTTTAATAATAATTAGTTTAATTTTAATTTTTAAGTAATTTATTTTTTATACTTAGGAGAGAAAAATAAATTATATATATAATTTAAAAAACTATTTAATAAAATTATAAACTTACTTTTTATTATTATACTTAAAATTAAAAAAAATAATTATTATAAAAGCTTCTAAATAATAATTATAACTTAACTTTAATTTAAAATATATAGTAAAATAGCTAAGTAAATAATTAAATTTATAATTAATAATATTATAAACTTATAATTAAAAACTTTAAAAAAAACTAAAGTTAAATAAAGTAAAATATAAGTTAAATTAATTAAAAAGTATTAAAAACCCTAAGCTAAATAAAAAAAATTAAAAATATTATTAAAAAAGCTAATAAAATAGCCTAAAATAATAAATAAAATTTACGTAATTATATATATATATAGCTAGTTAAACTAGCTAATTAATTAAAGGTATATATAAAAGTTTTTTTACAATTAATTCCTTTTAAGTAATTTATTCTTTATACTTAAAAGAGGTAACTTATTTATACTAGGAAAATAAAGCACCAAGTAAATATTATAATTTTATTTAATAATTATATAATATCCTACTAATAGTATTATATAAAATTTATAAATAATAATACTGTTTTTTATAAAAAGAATTATTTTTTAATTACTTATATTAAGTTTTTATATAATTTTATAATTTATCTTATATTTATCACTTATAAACTTTATACTAGTAACATTAAACCTTTTATTATTATACCTTTCCTTATAGTTATTTAATATAATAGTAATAATATTATTATTTAATTTTATTATGAAATTCTGGTGGTGCTAATACAACCTCATGAACCTTTGCTTTCTTCTCTCCTCTTCGCTTTTTTAATTCCAGCCAAGGGTCTTCCTCTACTATTCTTTTCCTTTTGCCTCCTTTTCTCTTTTTCGTATGGCCGTTCTCGTTTTCAAAGGCAGCTGAGGTAAGAATGCCGGCGGCGTCATCTTCTAGGTCGCGTTCTGCTATGCGCTCCAGCTCCTCCTCCCTCTTTTCTTGTATCTTCGATTCCTCTGCCCTCCATTGGTCGTAGAGTTTATGCATTTTGCGCTCTTTGCGAGTACGATACACTTTCAATCCTAATGCGTCTTTCCCCTCTGCGTTCGTGCTGGTTTTCTGGGCAAGCCCCGATACTGGTAGAGCCGCGTCAACCCGGCTGGCAAAGGCCCCTAAGTTTTCACCGGGACGAATTTGAAGCTTCTCGCTGGTGACATCTGTACCCTTCGTAGTCGTTTTGTCTAGTTGACCATCATCCAAGCCTGATCTAATCTTTTTTCCCCCTGCCACTGCCATTATTCTCTTGAAGGCTCGCGGAGTGTCATTGTCTCTTGAGGTTCTGGTACGCTTCTTTGTAGCTCGCTCTCCAGAACTTGATGCCGCTTTTCGTTTATTTACGGGAAGAGATCGCGCTTTCTCTGTAGGGGCGAGATCGAATCTAAATCCAGGATTAGTCAATGTAATTCTATTTGAGATACGCTTGCAAACGAACTCTGCTTCGAATTCGCCCTTTTTGGACTTGTGTTTATGAGGCATGGTTGTTGACTTGTGGTTGTTGGAAGTAAAATTCGAACGGCAAAAATATCCTGTATATTGTTTGTACCTACCTTAGTAGCTTTAGTAAAAATAAAAACCATTCAACTAGTGGTATTATTAGTTTTATAATTTTAAACAAAATTGTTATTATGCTTCTTTTAGTATAGCAGCGTAGGGGTTTATGTTAATACAAATAATAATACTAATAATAATACTAATAATAATATATTTATAATTATATATACTCGTTGCATTATATAATATCAGGTAGCAGAGCGAAGCGTAATGAGCGGAGTACGTAGTTGGCTGGTATGCCATGCCATACCACAGGTACCTGCTGACAGCCTTGAGCTCACTCAGCACCTACTTGTACTAAATTATCTTCAGCCCTCATAGGTAGTTGTTCCTCGGCGCTAACAGCCATTGCTATTTCGCGCCTCTCTCCCTTTGCAACACCATCATTCTCAGCCTCAGTGCAGTTCTCGCCAGACCTATTTCTATTTTGTTCAGCTGCGCCGGAGCCAACAACAAACCCCCCTCCTCAACTATTCTCATCTCTCTCCCTTGTTTGCTCCCTTATCTTCTCCCATTCAAAGAGCGCTTATGGAACTCGCCCCCTCGCCCAAATCCCTGCCTGAAACAGCCGCCAAGCTAAGGGTCAACACCACACTTCTTCGATAACTTTCCGTCAAACATTTTTCTTTCGATATCCCATCATTTGTCATCCAGCAGTCTTCGAGACACCACTATCGCGGTCTGATTCTTGATTTGTCCCACTGCCGCAGCTTCATTTTTGCCAACGAACGATCACGCGATCTAAGCCTTACGCAGTCGACAGGACGGCGTCAAATCGGGCTGTGGCAAAGGGAAGCCTGTATCCATCGAATCGCGCATCATCACCGCCTGCTTGACGAAATTTATCTCACTACACCGATAAACTTTGCAACGACATATTAAACCTACCGCCTGTGGTCCGTCGTAATATTCGCACTTGTAGTTGACCATAGCCTGTTCAACTGCTTTGCATTTGCTCACCCATTATGAGAGAGGTCAATTTCAGCATCCCCAACGTCAACAAGGCGTCAGTGGGGATTACTACAGCCTTATACGATCGCCGAGCGCTCGACTGCACTTCCACTTTACCTCTTATCAACTCCCTCAACCATCTTGCCTATCTCACAACATCTTCGGCACGTATTCGCGATATTTTGACTGTCGATGGAGGAATTGAACGTTTGGTGTGTATTCTCAAGCAAGGACGGAATGGCGATATGATGAGCATTTGGAAGTGGAATCTCGCCTTCCAATGCGTTGTCAACATCGGCGTCCGAGGAACAGAGAATGTGCGGACTCGGGTGGTGGAGGCAGACATGGTCCCTGTCATAGCCACGATCCTCGATAACTATATCAAAGTCATAGAACGATGTCGCGAAAAAGCGGATGAACTAAAACAAAAACAGTCGCACGACCATCATCACAGGCACAGGAATCATGATCACCGGCACTCATCAAAAGTTTCTCCTTCATCCCACACCGGCCGTTCCACAATTCACGATGGAGAACCACGAAATGCTTCACGACGGGAATCGTCATCAACTCCTGATGCGTCAGAGGCTCTGGCTGGACCATCCGTCACTTCAACCGGGCAGGGTGTCAATGATGCAACCTCAGCATCTTCACATATCTATACCAATACAGATGGGCCGATTCTGGCACCAAATCACCTTGCCACTAGTTCTCATGCGACGGATGCGCCATATGCCACCACAACGCGCCAAGACACCCACACTCCAGCTCCCGGGCCCCCGATTGCGGATAATCAGGATGGATTCGCGCGAGTCTTGCGTGATGTAGACCGCTTAACATCCATATCTACTTTTGGAGCTACTGGCCTGATGACTCAACCTATGTCACCGACAACTCCTGTTCCCTTACTTCAGCTGCGACCACCGACAGTGCGATCTGCAACAAACTTGGATGTTACAGTCGGTCGGTCACGAAGGCGGCCGTCAATTAGACATCAGAATTCAACAGCCGAATCCGACGATTTCAATGGTGATAGTATGCCCTCTGACGAGGCTCCAGAGACGGAAATGACGGGAGCTGCGGAGATACAGTCCGCTGTGGGAATCCAAGATATCACAATGGACGACAACGAGGCTATCCTAACAGGAGACTCACTCGACCTAACTAATCCTACTGCGTCCGAGGCCCACCAAGATGCCGAGACTTTCAACATTGCTCACCGTTCAAATCTTGATGGGAGCATCAGAGATGATATAACACATACCCCGGTTGCACCAGTTGGCCTTTCTCCGAGCCGTCCAACCTTAGTTGCTACGCCACACCCGCCAACTCCGAGTTCTGCCATCCCTCGATATTTGCTCGATCGACACCTCATACCGCATCCGCAATTACTATCCGCAATGCCACGCGAAGAAGATGTGCTCATGTCTCTGCAGTTATTGGCGTATGTCTCTAAGTATTGCTGTTTGCGTACATACTTTCAGAAAAGCCATATTGTACCAACTCTTGCAATCGCCAAGGATCTCCTTGCCCTGGATACAGAAGAGGGAGGGGGGGAAGAGGAGGTGGCTCCCTCTTCTGCTGGCAACGAGACCGACATAGAGGACGAATACCTGCTCGAGGATGACTTCAACTTATTTCCTTTGGTCGAAAAGTTTACTGTCAGGTACCACAGCACGGACATGCAATATTGGGCAGGGGTGGTGATGCGCAACCTATGTCGAAAAGATGACACGCGGGGGGGAATTCGACAGTGCGCATACTATCAATGTGGCAAATGGGAGGAATTCACCCGTCAGTTCGCCAAATGCCGTCGCTGCCGTCGAACAAAGTACTGCAGTAAGGACTGCCAAAAGAGCGCCTGGGCTTTTCATCGTCATTGGTGCGTGGCTGCAACGCAGTGACGACTTCTCGCGTTAAAATGAGCAGCTCATCAGTTTCATCGAATTACGGCTTTTTTGGTCTGAGATATTCATTGGAAAATTGCGACTTCATTACATTATAAAGCGTTTCATTATCGCATAGCATTTCTTCTCGATACCACTGGTTTTTATGGCGTATTAGGTTTTTAATCATGGTGCATGAGTCGTGCCTCTGGTATCGTCTTAGCCGTTCAACTTGGTTCATTGCCCTCTCTGAGGCTCTCGCGTTACAAAGTCTATGCGTTTTTACAAGTACGCTCTTTCGCGCGACCATCGTCCTCGGGCACTGAGCAACTACACTGGAATATACGATATATATGCCTGCATACTTACTTATTGCTGCAAGGGCATCAGGCGAAAGTCGGGGTCTTCATTGGGTTATTTGTCAATACATCATCCATCTTTGCATCAATTTAGAATACATTTACAAACCAATCCAACAACCAGCAAAGCTCGGTACGGTGCATCGTGTATAGTGACGTTATGTATAACTTAACTCGTAGGCTTCTATCTTCCTTACCTAGATATAATCTCCAAGTAATGTACATGAAAGTGCTATGCAGTATTTCTTTTCGACCCTGTCCGAGAATATCCATTATGTAACCTGCTATATCATTTATGGGTCGTGGCAAAGAGGCAGAATAATGTGAGACCGGAACTTCGTCGTACAGATTTCCTTTTTGATTTACTAGCGAACGCAGAACAGATAAATAGGAGGGAGAGCCCTCTGCGCTGCCCTTAACAGCAGGCGGGATTTAAAGTTAATCGAAGTGTTGAGCAATATTAATGATGTCTGAGGCCGATCAACTCCAAGATTTTATTGAATAAGCATGGCAAGAAATAAAGACACTTTATCCACGACCAAACGCACATCATCAATCAGCCATTGAACTTTTTGGCAAGTGGCATGTCAATCAGGGGTGCTTTGTCAGTTTATTTGGAGGCGGCAGCCTTTCTCCTGCTTTTGCCGGGCCGTGATGACTTGGTCTTCATTTTCTTCACATTGAACTTGGAGAGATCACCGGAGCTCATGGCGTCTCCGGATTTTGCATGGCGTTTCTTCCCCCCAAATCCATACCTTTCGTTCTTCTTTTGACGTTTAGCATTCACGGGGCGAGCTCCTGATTGCTGTCGACCAGTCCCAGAGCGCTGTGAATGTTTGGCAATTTCGTTGTCCACACTGACATCAAAGATATCGGCCTCCTTCGTACCGACATCAGAACTATGCTCTTGACGTTCTGCAATGTGATTCCGGTCAGCAAACTAGCGTGTATGAGCTGCAGGTTGAAATATTGTACTCACTTCTCTTGAGTGTTTTAATTTTATCAAGCACCTCACGCTTGGCTTTTTGTCGCTCCTGGAGTTTGGATACTTGTACTTGTTTGCCAAACTTCTTCAAGTCACGAAGTTTACGTGCTTCAGCTGCCGCTTTCTTAGCGGACGCTTCTTCAACCAACTTCGCCTTAATTTTCTCCATGTGGGCATCCTCCTTCACCATTTCAGCGAAGTAGTCCTTTGGTCGAGAGAATGGCACTCCTTCGCTGATTAGCCGGGATCGGCCCACGCGTACGGCTTCCAGGCATTGGGAGTAGAAGGCAAGTTCTCGCTGCAGATCATCCGAGACGTCGGGTATGGACTCGGTAGTTTGTGCCGATGAGACGACAGACTGGTGGGTGGCGAATGGAACAGTTTTGTCGGTCGGGATGGATATTCTATCGAGAGCCGCGAGAAGAGCAGACGTATTGTTAATTGTCAGTCTTGTATGGGGGACAATGTCTTCTTTCTCGTCTTCTTCAAGGTCTTCGAGGTCGGAGACGGGGATTTCTTCCTCGTCTTCATCATCCTCTTCATCCTCCTCTTCATCTGCCGCCGCTGGTTTGGAATTCTGTTGAACAACTGCTGATTTTCTTGGCAGTCTCTTTTCAAGCTCAATTGAAGATTCAGAAGTGTCGCTCTCATAGATAGCATCAAGGTTCATCTACAATTATGTTAGAGTGGGAGCGTGGGAGATGTTGGGCAGAATATAATTACAACCTTTCCTTGGTCTTCCTCCACTTCATTGTCCGAAGCGCCCTCGTCCTCGTCTTCTCGGTCTTTGCTGCCAGCTTTCACGGCCTTTCTCTTCGCCGTTTCCTTTGCCTTCTTTTGTTGCTTTAGTTTGGCGAGATCGACTCCTTTTTCAGCGGCCAATGCCGACCGCAGCTTACTTCTCGTCACCATTTTGAATTTCTTCTGCTGGGGTGATGCGCTGCGTTTGTGGTTGTGGTTTTTTTTTTTGCTGTCTATGTGTGTCTTGCAGGCAAGCCCGGCCTAGACTTTTGAAAAATCTCCATATTCTGCCGTTCTAAGCATTTTTTTCTCCACCGCCTTTGAAGGCGGTGAGGCAGCCTTGGCACATGAAGCAGGTACTAGACCTCAGACAAAAGAATAAGTGGAGTACAGTTGCAGCTGCATCGAAAACCTCAGTACCAATGTACCTACCACTCACTGTGTTAGGTGCTTTAATGCTTCTACCCTATAGACAAAGGGTTTAAACATAGGATAAATTAATTAACCTTCCTTTTATAATAACTTGTCTATGCAACTGCTATTAGGCAGCCTGTGGATATTATACCTAAAATATTAATAAATACTTAATTAAGAAAAACTCCTCCGCCTGTAATAGTATTACTTTATATTTAGGTAATAAAAGACTTATCTTAAACTTTTTAAAAACCTTAAAATCTAGGGATTTTTTATTATATTTATACTATTTTTTTTTAAAAAATATTATTATTAATTAATATTTTTTTTTATTATATAATACTTTTTTAATTAATTTTATATATAACTTTAATAAGTTTTTAAAAAATACTTAATAAATTAAAATAAATTATAATTTTTTTTATAAATTTTTTATAAATATTTTTATTAATATTATTAAGGATATTTTATTTAACTTTTTTAGTTAATAATAAATAAAATTTTATATTTTTTAAACCCTTAACTTTATTTTTAAAAAAGTTATTATTTAACTTAATAATTATATTAAAAATAATTTTATTATTTAATTTACTTAATATTTTTTTTTAAAAAAACTATTTTAAATAATAACTTAATTTTACTTTTATTAATACTTAACTTTACTTTACCTTAAATATATATTTTAAAAATTATTAATATAATTAATAAGATTTTTATAACTTATTTTAATTTAATTAATAAAATTACTAAATTACTTTATTTAATTATTTTAATTAAATATAAAAATAATAACCTTAGGGTATTTTTATATATTAATAAATAAGCTTTATTTTAAATTAAAATTAGTTTTATAATTAAGTATATTATTACTAAACTTATTAATATTAATATTTTAAAATTACTTTTTATTTTTTAAATAAATATAAGCTAGGCTATTTAAATAATAAATAATATTACTTAAGATAAAATTATTATTATAATAAATACCTAAGGTAAAAATATTAAAATTATAAATATTAATTTTAAAAAAACTTAATATTTTTATATTTTTTAAAATATTTTAATTATTTTATAAATTTATAATAAAAAAGTTTTTTTTAAAATTAAATATAATAAAATACTTTAAAAAAAAATTACTTTTTAAATTAGTTAAGTATTTATAAAAATTATAAAAAGTAAATATAATTTCCCTAGCTTTTATAATTATACCTTAATTATTTTTTTTAAAAACTTAATTACTTATTATTAAAAATTTTAAAAATTTAATATTATTATTTTTATTATAAAAACTTATTTTCCTTAGTAATATAATAAATATTAAAACTTTTATTTTTAATATTACTACTTTTATAAGTAATATTATAAAAATTATAATAAATTTAATTACTTAAAAGAAAAATACTTAAATAATATTTAATATATTAACTACTTTAGCTTTTACTTACTTAATTACTTTTTTTATTTAATAAAATTAAAGAAAATTAATAATATTATTTAAAAATTTATTATTATTAATTATAAAATAATATAAAATATTAGTTTTTATTTTTATAAATAAAAAACTTAAGAAAATATAATACTTACCCCTTAGGATTAAGTTTTTTAAAAAACTTTATTAAAATTTACTTTAATACTTTTTTTAATTACTATAGTATTAGTTAAAGTTATTTTTTTTATTAAAAGTAAAAGCTTTTATTAATTTAAACTTTATAATAAAAAATCTTAAAAATAGGCTTAAGCTTAAACTTAAAAATCTTTTTATAATTAATTTTTAATATAAATATTTATAAAAACTAAAGGTTTTTTAAATTTTTTAAGTTAATATAAAAAAATAAAAAATAATATATTTTATTATTTTTTAATTTATTAAAATTAAAAAAGTAAATATTATTATTTTATAAAAATTATAAATATAATATAAAAGTAATTATTATATAATAAAGTTATATTTACTTTATTATACTTACTTTTTAGTTTTATATTAATTTTAAAAAACTAAGCCTAAGGCTATTATATATATTAAAAAATTCCCTAATTTATTTATAAATTAACTTATTTTTATAATTTTAAAAAATATTATATAAATAAAAGTTAATAATATTATAATTATTAATATTTATAAAAAATAAAACTTTATAAAGGTTTTTAATATTTTACTTTAATAATAACTTTTTATTAAAACTTTAGTAATTAAGAACTTTAATATTAAATATTATAATTAATAAACCTTATACTTAGAAATATTAAATATTATAATTAATAAACCTTAATATTAAATATTATAATTAATAAACCTTATACTTAGAAATATTTAAAAAATATTACTTAGTTAAATAAGCTTAAGAATATAACTTTATATTACTAAATAAAATAAATATTCTTATTTATAAACTAAGTAATATTATAAACTTAATTTATAATAATATTTTTTATATTATTATATTAATTAAAAAATACTTAAAAATAAACTTTAATTACTTTACTTTTATTATTATTATTTTTATAAAGCTTTAATTATATAAAAGAAATAAGTAAAAAATAATTATAATAAAAAATAAATTTAATTATTTTTTTTTTATATTACTTTTTAATATTTTATTTTTTTTAAAAAAAACTAAAACCCTTTAGGAATTTAATTACTTAGCCTAAGAGTTTATTATACTTTTATATTAAGTAATTAAGGCTATTAATTATTTATTTAAGGGTTTTTTTAATAATAAAATATAATAAACTAAGGAATACTTAAAAAAAAAATTTTTTTTTTATTATATAAAAAGCTTTTTTAATAAACTATTTTAAATTAATATAATAAGCCTAAGTTAATTTTTAAAATAGTATTAAAGTAATTAAAAAAACTAACTTTAGGGTATATATAAATAATATTAAGGCCCTTAGGGATATTTTTAAATTTACTTAGTAATATATACTAAAATATTATTTTTAACCCCCCCCTTTAGAATTTAATAAAATTATAATAATAATAAAGGAAAAGAAAATTACTTTATTTTAAAGCTTTATTTTAAAAAAAAAATTAATTAAAAATAATATTTTAAATTTATAGTAAAAGTCTATAGTAAAAAAAACTATTTTACTAAAGTTAATTATTTTACTTAAGAAAACTAAAAATTATATTATTAAAATTAATAATATTTCCCTAGGGGTTAATAATATTATAATTTATATATTAAAAACTACTTAGTTAACTATAGGTTTTATTATTAAACTTTTATATAAAAGATATTTAATTATTAATTATTACCTAAAGCTTTTTAAAAATACTTAAGTTATTATAATTCTAAAGCTTAAAAAATATAACTTTTTTATATTTTATACTTAATATTTTATTTTCCTACTTAACTACTTAAGTAAAAAATTAAAAAAACTTATTATTTATAAACTAGCTTATATTATTATATAATATTAAATCCTTTACTTTAATTAAATAAAAGCCTTTTTTAAAAAATTAATTATTAATTTTATAACTATTTTTATTTATTATATTAAGCTTATTTTATTATAAAGACTTTTTATAACTTTTATTATTATTAATATAATAAAGGTTTTTAATATAATATTATAAAATAAACTTATTAAATAATTAAGAAAGTAAAGCTAATTAATTTTACTTATTTACTAAGTAAAATCCTTTATAAATAAAAGGTTTATTAATATTAAGCTATAGAATTTTCTTTTTTTATTAAAACCTTTAAAATATAGCCTTTTATAAAAATCCCTTATTTTCTTAATTCTTTTTTTTTATATATATAATTACTATATAAGGTTATTATTAATATACTTTAGTTAAAATATATAAATAATATTAGTTTTTTATTTATAAAAAAAAGCTTATAAAAAAATATTACTAAAGCTATTATTACTTTTTAGCTTTTAAAAAAATAAAATAATAAAAATAAAATTAATTTTAACTTAGTAAAAACTAAAGTTATATACTTTTTTTATAATTATAAAAATAATTTATTAATAATATATTAAGTAAAATTAAAAATAATAACTAAGGTAATATATTAACTAGAGGTTTTTTTAAATTATTATTTTATTTTTAAAATATATATAAAACTATAGGCTAAAAAGGCTTATTAATTTATAAAATATTTCTTTAGCTTAGTTAATATTAAAAGTAACTTACTTTTTATTATAATATATTAAAGTATAAAAGCTTATATAAAACTTATTTTTTATTATAAGTCTAAAGTATAGTTTAATAACTTAAATACTTTTTTTATATAAAATCCCTAGTATATAATATTAGTTAAAATAAAAATAAATATATAAGTTATAAATAAAATTATTTAATAAAGCCTAAGATTAATTCTCTTAGTTTAAAAAATAACTTTAAGTAGTATATATTATTATAAAAGTATTATATTATTAACTAAATAATTTTTATAAGTTTATAAGCTTTTTTTTATAATATATTTATAATTACTAAATTAGCTATATTCTTTAGTTAAGTATTTACTAAATATAGTAATTAATAAATACTTAAAAAAGTTAATTTATAAAAATATAATTAAAAAGTTTTTATTAAAAAATCTTAAAATATTCCTTTTTAAGCTTTAATAAATTTTTATATTTTTTTTTATATTTTATACCTAAAGTTATTTAAACCCTTTTTTACTTTATTTTCCCTTAAGATAATAAAAAAACTTAATAAAAACTATATTACTAAATAATTTATAATATAATAATAAGCTTTTTTTTTAATATTATTATAATTTTTTTTAATAATTTAATAAATAAAAATAATATATTTAATTATAAATATATTATAATATAAAATATTAAAATATTTATAAAAGAATATAATTAACTTAATTAAGTAAAGGTTTTTAATATAAAAGTAATTAAAGTTAATAAAAAATTTTAAGTTATTATAAAAAAAGCCTTAATTAATTTAGTATTTTATTTTTATATTAATAATATATTAATAATTATAGGTTTTTAAAGTATTCCCCTTAAATTTTTATAAATTATTTTTTTAGCTATTAATATAATATAACTAAGGTTTTAGTAATTTTAAAATAAGCTTTTAATTATAATTATATATTTAAAAATAAAAAAATTAATAAACTTACTAAAATAAGTATTATATTACCTTAAGTAAGTTTTTCCTTAATTTTTTTTACTTTTATTAAATAATAAGTTTAATAAATATTTATAAATATATTATAAATATAATAAAAAACCTTAGTACTTTTTTTATATAAAAACTTAAATTTATTTATTTTAATTAAACTACTTAATAAACTTATACTTCTTTAACTTTTACTTTATTAATTATTAATTATAAAATTAAGCTATAGAGATTTTACTTTATATTATAAATAATTTAATTATATTAATATAAACTTAAATTACTTATATAAATATTAAAAAACTTTTAATTATTTTTTTTATTATTATAAAGTTTTTAACTATTTTAAATATAATTAATAATTATAAAATAAGTAATTAGTTTTTATAATAATTAAAAAAAAGTTTAAAAAGTTTATTTAACTTTTATTTATATTAAGCTTTTTTTAAAAAATCTATTATAAATAGTTTTTATTTTAAAAAAAATATAAAAAAACCTTAATTAAAATATATAATATTATAAACTATTTATAAACTTTTTATATTTTTTTTTTATTTTATAAATAAAATAAAATATAATAAAAAACTAATTATATATTAATATATTAAATAATTAAAATAAAAATAAAAGTAATTAATAACCTAAATTTTTTTTATACTTTTATAAAAAATATATATTTTTTTATATAATATATATTACCTTATAGACTTATAAAAATATAAGGAAACAGGGGTATTAATTAATTAATTATTAATATAGTTTAATAGTTATTAAGGGAAATTCCTTATATAATTATTATATTATAATTAGCTCTCTCTTTTACTAATTAGCCTAGCATACCCCTTACTACACCCAGCAGCCTAATTAATTAATGGTCACGGGCGCAAAGCAATACAATAATAATAAAGGGATGAATTAATAAGCCCATCCACCTCCTTGCTTTGGTCACCATGATAGTGGCGTAGATCCATTAAGTTTATCTAATGTATAACTAACCCGTCTAAAGAATGATAATAAAAAATTACAAGCATGCGCCTAGGAGAACTAAAACAGAAAAAACACCACACGGATTCAATCACCACTGATTTTTGCATGTCGGAAATATTTCATCCCCACCCAAGCAACAACAACCCATACCCAAGCCATGACGCACGTCAAAGTGATAAGCGCAGGATAGTAGCCCACAATTGGCAGAGTAGGGTCATCTTCAAACTCAGGCGGTGCATATGGCGTCGTACCTACATCCCATGCCCACCTCCAGACCTCAAAGCAAGAGCCCATTCCTATAACAAAGACAAACCAGGTCACCGTCAGAACCACCCAGCCCCACCACTCAGTCTCGGAATAGTCCCAGCCTACAACTTGCTGAGGCAGAGTTGAGGCGGAATAAGAGAGCGGGGATTTGGCCTTTTGTCGACGTTCAGTTGCCGTAAGTCCAACATAGTAAGATTCGGATCCCGAGGACAGGGGGAGGCTAGATCGAAGCGACTGAGAAGCATGAGTCCCCAGCTGGATTATGTCTTCCTCGTCAGTTGTGAAATTGTACATGTCCGCCTGCCTCTCGCTCCCGCCCATTCCGGCGTCGAAGCAGGCTGAAGGAGCTGGTGAACCAATAAGATTGAGATTGGGCTGGCAAGGATATTCATTTGTCGGGGATGAGATAGGGGAGATGTTGAGGCCAAGAGCGTTGTGCACCGTGCTTGCAGAACCAGGACCAGAGCCAGAACCAGAACCAGAGGTAGGACCAAAACGAGCAGATTCAGAAATGGGCGCGTCCGCTATCGCGTCAGTTTCGATAGCCAGCGGCCAGTCTCTCCTGTCCCGCTGAGCGCCTCTTCCCAACAGTGCAACTTTCCTGAGCGATCCTCTGCGGCGCCGCGTCTTCTGCTGCTGCTGCTGCTGCACGGCTGCCACCATCGCCCGCACATGGACGGTGGAAGCCTCTGCCTCATCCCTCTGAACCGCTTCCTGGTCGACGGATGCGCTCATGTTAGAGGATTCGCCATGGCGAGTATGGACGATGCGCCGACTCTCTAGCGCAATGTTGGGCAGCGCGGGTGAATTTGCATAGCTGTCCATAGGGGCTTGCGGTCCCCCGTGTGGGTAAACTGTGCGCTGTTGCAACTAGATCTTAAAATACTCCGTAATATGGATTCAATGGGATGGCGGCGGGTGGGGGTGAGGTTTATCCCACCAGGCCAGAGCCGAGTCCCCTTTTTGCCGGTTGGCTGGGGGGGCGCGAGCTGTACCTGACGGGAGAGATGGAGTCGCAGGGGACCTTAATCAACAAGCCGGAGATGCCCTTGCACCCTGTAAATTATCAATATTACCTATTCGCACATGGGCAGAGTATGAGTATAGTATTTAATAATCTCTGGTCAAGAGATGCTGGAGGGGGAGGTGAAGACTGAATGCACTCGAGGATACTGTGCTTGAACGCTAGTGGTGGGCGGTAGGTGCTAAGGTATTAGGTGTTTAGTACGCGCGAATCATTTTAGACGCAGCCCGAGCACACTAAAACCCCGTCAAGCGTGCACGAGGAAACCAACCATCAACTTAGTAACAAGCGGGCAGTGCGAAGAGGCATAAACCAACGTTTGGAGAGGCTGGATCTCACAGCTCTTTGGCCACAGGATGCGTCCTAGTCGGCGCTCTAGCCAGATAAATCCATGCAAGTGACCGCTCGAGCTCCTACCAGCCCACTGAGGTGGCATTACCTATATAGGAAGAGGCACCAATTTAACCCCCTGACCCTCGTTGTTGCGGCACTGTGCTGGAGGTGTGCTGTCCCTTGCTAGCATTCTGTCGACATCTTGTGTTATCCCCTAATCTTCAAGAGAAGTGGACAACACTCTCACCGCCGCATTTCTTGCGAAGGCACTCACTTCTACCCATTTGCATTCTCATCGTTACAACAGACTCGGCGCCGACTTGCCCATGAATGTCTCTCGTTCATTGTCAGCCCGTCTAGTTTTTTTTTTTCTAATCGCCTTCTATTCTTTTCTGTCTTACTCTTCCCAGCTCTAGTTTCCCGCCTGACCTAGCTCCTCCATGGCAGCGACCTACGATGTCGGCACGAGAGCGTGGCAGCCTGACGCAGCCGAGGGCTGGGTAGCCTCGGAGCTCATCAGCAAGACAGTCGAGGGCACAAAGACAAAGCTAGTCTTCCAGCTCGAGAATGGCGAGGTATGTTTGCTATATTCTCCAATATACACAATATAGCATACCCTTGGGTAGCTGAGGGAGGGGTAGATACTAACAACTGGCTCTCTAGACTAGGACCGTTGATGTCTCAACGGAAATCTTGCAGAGCGGCGGTTCTGATCCTTCGCTGCCGCCGCTCATGAACCCGACTATCCTGGAAGCCAGTGATGACCTCACTAACCTGTCGCATCTTAACGAGCCGGCCGGTATGTAGTCCCTCGAACCCTCCCCCCAATACCCGACCTCTGCTTACAAGAGTGGGTGGACAGTGTTGCAGGCGATTCGATTGCGCTATTTACAAAAGGAAATCTATACATACAGTGGTATCGTCTTGATAGCAACCAACCCGTTTGCTCGAGTCGACTCTCTCTATGTCCCGGGCATGGTGCAGGTGTACGCGGGGAAGCAGCGCGCAACCCAAGCACCCCACTTGTTTGCAATTGCTGAGGAAGCCTTCATGTATGTCGAGGCCTCTACTTGCAAGTTGAATCTGAAGCTAACTGGCCGGCCTTCTCCAGGGACATGGTGCGTGATGGCAAAAACCAAACTGTCGTCGTTTCTGGCGAGTCCGGTGCTGGCAAGACCGTCAGCGCCAAGTATATTATGCGTTACTTCGCTACAAGAGAGTCTCCAGACAACCCTGGTGCTCGCAAGCGAGGAACAGAGCAGATGAGCGAGACGGAGGAACAGATTCTGGCAACTAACCCCATCATGGAAGCGTTTGGTAACGCCAAGACCACCCGAAATGACAACTCGTCACGATTCGGTAAATACATCGAAATCATGTTTGACGACCAGAGAAACATTATTGGTGCCAAGATTCGCACCTACCTGTTGGAGAGATCACGTCTCGTCTTCCAGCCCCTCAAGGAGCGAAACTACCACATCTTCTACCAGTTGGTTGCGGGCGCCTCGGATGAAGAGCGGGAGGCACTGAGCATCCTTCCAATCGAGCAGTTTGAGTATCTGAACCAGGGAAACTGCCCAACCATTGATGGCGTGGACGACAAGGCTGAATTTGATGCTACAAAGAAATCACTGTCCACGATTGGTGTATCCGACGCCCAGCAGTCTGATATCTTCAAACTGCTGGCTGGTTTGCTTCACCTGGGCAACGTCAAAATCACCGCTTCACGAAACGATAGTGTCCTTGCTCCAAACGAGCCGTCACTAGAGCTAGCCTGTGGCATACTTGGCGTGGATGCCGCCGAGTTTGCCAAGTGGATCGTAAAGAAGCAGCTCGTAACCCGAGGTGAAAAGATATCATCCAATTTGAGCCAAGCACAGGCCATCGTTGTTCGCGACTCCGTTGCCAAGTTCATTTATTCGAGTTTGTTCGATTGGTTGGTTGAGATTATCAACCTCAGTCTTGCAACAGAAGAAGTCCTCAGCCGTGTCACCTCTTTTATCGGTGTATTAGATATCTACGGCTTTGAGCATTTTGCCAAGAACTCATTTGAGCAGTTCTGCATCAACTATGCTAACGAAAAGCTTCAACAAGAGTTTAACCAGCATGTATTCAAGCTTGAACAGGAGGAGTATCTGCGGGAGCAGATCGACTGGACTTTCATCGACTTTTCAGACAACCAGCCCTGTATCGATTTGATTGAAGGCAAGATGGGCATTCTTTCTCTCTTGGACGAAGAGTCTCGTCTTCCCATGGGGTCAGATGACCAATTCGTTACCAAACTCCACCACAATTTCGCAACCGAGAAAAAGCAGCCCTTCTTCAAGAAACCCAGATTTGGCAAGTCGGCTTTTACTGTGTGCCACTATGCCGTTGATGTTACGTATGAATCCGAGGGATTCATTGAGAAGAACCGAGATACCGTGCCGGATGAGCACATGGCGGTCTTGCGCGCTTCGAGCAACTCATTCCTTAAGCAAGTTTTGGATGCTGCATCGGCTGTTCGAGAAAAGGACGTCGCCTCGGCTTCGTCAAATGCTGTCAAGCCTGCCGCTGGCAGGAAGATTGGTGTGGCCGTAAACAGGAAACCAACTCTGGGAGGAATCTTCCGATCATCTTTGATAGAGTTGATGAACACCATAAACAACACCGATGTGCACTACATCAGATGTATCAAGCCCAACGAAGCCAAGGAGGCTTGGCAATTTGAAGGACCAATGGTTCTCAGTCAGCTTCGTGCTTGTGGTGTGCTCGAGACTGTTCGTATCAGTACAGCTGGATACCCGACTCGTTGGACTTATGAGGAATTTGCTCTGCGATATTACATGCTTGTTCACTCTAGCCAATTGACGTCTGAAATTCGGCAAATGGCTGATGCAATTTTGACCAAAGCGTTGGGCACCAGCACTGGAAAGGGCCTCGACAAGTATCAGCTCGGCTTGACCAAGATCTTTTTCCGCGCTGGTATGCTTGCTTTCCTTGAAAACTTACGTACAAACCGCCTCAACGAATGTGCCATTCTCATCCAGAAGAACCTGAGAGCCAAGTATTATCGCCGTCGCTATCTGGAGGCCCGCGAGTCCATTGTTCAAACGCAGGCAGCTATTCGCGCATATATAGCAAGAAAGAAGGCTCTGGAGTTGAGGACCATCCACGCTGCAACAACCATCCAGCGAGTTTGGCGCGGATACAAGCAGCGCAAGGAATTCCTGCGAATCCGAAAGAACTTGGTTCTGTTCGAGTCCGTCGCCAAGGGCTACCTTCGAAGGAAAAACATCATGGAGACAAGAGTTGGCAATGCTGCGCTTGTCATCCAAAGGGTGTGGAGACAACGCACGCAACTTCGCACCTGGAGACAATACCGCAAGAAGGTGATCTTGATCCAAAGCCTTTGGCGTGGAAGGACCGCTCGTAAAGAATACAAGAAGATGCGAGAAGAGGCCCGCGACCTGAAGCAGATTTCGTATAAGTTGGAGAACAAAGTTGTCGAGTTGACCCAAAACCTAGGATCCGTCAAGGAGAAGAACAAGAACTTAATTTCGCAAGTAGAAAGCTACGAGGGCCAGCTCAAATCGTGGAAGAATCGCCATAACGCACTCGAGGCGAGGACAAAGGAGTTACAAACGGAGGCCAACCAGGCCGGTATTGCGGTTGCCCGCCTCCAAGCCATGGAAGACGAAATGAAGAAGCTCCAGCAAGCATTCGACGAGTCGACTATGAATATCAAGCGTATGCAGGAAGAAGAACGCGAGCTCAGGGAATCACTTCGCCTAACCAGTTCTGAGCTAGAGACAACCAAAGAAACCAACTTGGAGCGCGAGAGAGATAACATGAGCCTTCGACAGGAACTGGATGCCCTTCGGGATGCCCTGGAGCTTGCGAAGCGCACCGGAACGCTCAACGGCGACATCACTAATGGTGTTAGCAACGCGCCAGCCGTGGCCAGCGGACTCATCAACCTCGTCTCATCTAAGAAACCGAAGCGCCGAAGCGCTGGAGCGGAGCCCCGTGAGCTGGATCGCCTGAGCGGAACTTACAATCCTAGACCGGTATCCATGGCTGTCACAAGCACTCTTCATCGCCAAAACCTGTCAGGGTCGACTTTTATTCCCGGGGTCGATAATATTGAAATGGAGCTCGAAAGCCTCCTTGCCGATGAAGATGGCCTCAATGAAGAGGTTACTATGGGTCTTATCCGCAACCTAAAGATACCATCGCCAAACACAAACCCTCCCCCCTCTGATAAAGAAGTTCTGTTCCCGTCCTATCTCATTAACCTGGTGACGTCTGAAATGTGGAACAATGGATTCGTAAAGGAGTCGGAGCGGTTCCTTGCCAATGTCATGCAGTCGATTCAGCAAGAGGTCATGCAGCACGATGGCGATGAGGCCATTAACCCTGGCGCATTCTGGCTATCAAACGTCCATGAAATGCTATCTTTTGTCTTCCTGGCTGAAGATTGGTACCAGACCCAGAAGACGGATAACTACGAGTATGACCGTCTTCTCGAAATTGTCAAGCACGATCTGGAAAGTCTCGAGTTCAACATTTACCATACCTGGATGAAGGTTTTGAAGAAGAAGCTGCAAAAGATGATTATTCCCGCCATCATAGAATCACAGTCGCTGCCAGGTTTCATTACTAATGAGAGTAACCGGTTCCTGGGCAAACTATTACAGTCAAATTCTGCGCCGGCGTATAGCATGGACAACCTTTTGAGTTTGCTGAATAGCGTTTTCCGGGCCATGAAGGCGTATTACTTGGAAGATTCAATCATTACTCAAACTATTACGGAGCTGCTCCATCTTGTTGGCGTAACGGCCTTTAATGATTTGCTTATGCGCCGCAACTTCCTGTCGTGGAAGCGAGGTCTTCAGATCAACTACAACATCACTCGCATTGAAGAATGGTGTAAGAGCCATGATATGCCAGAAGGCACGCTGCAGCTTGAGCACTTGATGGTATGACACAAAACCTTTAGATAAGGATGAGATGAATCAAAATGGCTAACCTCTCTGGACTTTTAGCAAGCAACCAAACTACTTCAACTCAAGAAGGCGACACTGAACGATATTGAAATTATCCAAGACATTTGCTGGATGTATGTTTACACCCCCTTTCCCGATTTGGGTTGGTCATCGCATGTTTTGATGCTAATGGAATTTTGTAGGCTCTCACCAAACCAAATTCAAAAGCTCCTGAACCAATACCTCGTTGCCGACTACGAGCAGCCCATCAATGGAGAGATTATGAAGGCAGTTGCCTCTCGAGTGACGGAGAAGAGTGACGTCTTACTTCTTCAGGCTGTTGATATGGAAGACAGCGGTCCATATGAAATTGCAGAGCCCCGTGTGATTACAGCTCTCGAAACATATACCCCATCGTGTAAGTCCCAATATGTACGAGGCTTGCGCGGAGAAAAGATGGCTAATGAACGTCCAGGGCTACAAACCCCTCGTCTGAAGCGGTTAGCAGAGATAGTCTCGGCACAGGCTATTGCGCAGCAAGAAAAACTTGAGGCAGGCTCAGTCGACGGCTTCGACGGTCACCAGCAACTGGCTGAGGTCGAGGAGTCTGAGACGGAGCAGTAAGCGGAATCGTGTTGGCTGTATATCAACGGCTGATGCATCATATTACATCAGATATGGGGCTTGATAAGACGAAGCATCTGCCAACGGTTCTGGTGTGCGCATTTGGGAGCGGGCTGTCGAGGGTTGTAAAAAGGTTTCTGTGTTGTGCTGCAGCGCAACATTTACTTGGGCATTTTTTATGTATAGAGCGGAGCGGATTTAGTTCTCCCTATTTAGGCAATTGCGCGGTGTCCGCTAGTATCAAATGAAATAATTACGAGTACAGTGATTCTGGTAGAGGAAAAAAAAAAGAATTTTTTTAGGGGTTAATCAAGGTGCGCGAAGAGAGTGGAGTTTTGGCCGTGCTTTTGGGCAAATACAATTCACCTTTCATTAAAGCCTGGCATCGACTTTGTCAAGCTGCATCCGCTACTAAAAATAATTATCCAGAACAATGCGCTCATCTCCGAATATCATTATTACCGGGACGCCCGGGGTGGGCAAGACAACGCACAGTGAGATCCTCGCAGAGAGGACTGGCTTGCGACATCTTTCTGTGAATCAGGTGGTTAAAGACAAAGAATGCCATGAGGGCTGGAGCGACGAGTATCAGAGCTGGATTGTGGATGAGGACAAGGTAAGCAAAGGGGGGAGCCTCACAGCTGCTAAGACAGGTCCGGCGCTAATCTCAGTGAATTGAAACAATGCAGCTTCTGGATGAAATTGAAGATGATGTCAAGACAGGGGGCTGTATAATCGATTGGCATGCCTGTGACCTGTTTCCGCGCAGCTGGGTCGATCTTGTTGTGGTGCTGCGTGTTGATTCCAAGACGCTCTATGATCGTCTGGAAGCCAGGTAAAGATTTTCTGCTTCTTTCTTCTCCTTTTCCCAGTCAGTCAGTACATTAGCCGGCTGACAAAAAGATGTGAAGAAATTACGCAGAGGCCAAGCTTCAGGAGAACATGGATTCTGAGATTATGGAGGTGCTGCTGCAGGAGGCGCGTGAAGCGTTTGACGAGGAAATCGTGGTTGAGCTCACCAGCAACAGCTCGACGGAGATGGAGTCCAACATAGACAGGATTGAGGCCTGGATCAAGCAGTGGAAGACGGACCATGCCGACTGAAGCACGCATTACATCTTTAAGAATTTACGCAAATCTAAGGCAAATCGCTGGCCTTGCTGCTTCCATGTCTTCGTCAGGGCCTTCACCAAGCCCAAGGGGTCTGTCTATCCATCTACTTTAGACAGGGGCTCCAAAGGGCTTCACCCACCACCTCTCATCCATGTGCGTCCTTTTTTTCTTTTTGAAGGATAGCATATTGATTACTCTCTGCCTTCGCAGACATGTATGTCTTTGAACATCATCTTTGTGGCAGATTCTTGCTGGCCGAGAAGCAGCGTGTCTACAGGTAGTCTATGTATTGTTTCCATATAAAAATACATCAATGCGTGGATAATGCGCAGGACAACAACATCCACGCTTGTGGGCTTAAAATACACCGCCATTCATTTCCTCCTGTATCACTTTGTATTGCTTCCTTGTCTTTGCTCGCCCAGTAACCCATTTGTTCAGGGTGCCCAGGAATCTCGCCAGTCGCAGTGAGAGGAACTCTTGGAATACCCAGGCCAGGGCGAAATACATGAAGCCAAGCAAGACCAGGAACAAATCATAATCCAAGCTCATGTAGCTCAACTGCATCAAATCATACAGCCAAGCTGCCGGGCCTGCAATCATATATACAGTCACTGCCAGGCTCAGAATGATGGTTGTGATGAATGGCCCTGCAAAAAAGTCAGTTTGGTTGAATTCAGCCTTGGCGGGTTATGAAGGGTACTCACCATTCTCCCACAGGGGGTGCCTAAAAGGAGGTCCTGCGTTTAGGATTACTCCGGAGAAGATATACTCAAAGCATGAAACCAGGAACAGTGCAGTATTCTCTGAGCTCTTGATGCTGGTTTCGTCATGGCTCAGCTGCGGCGGCACGTACCAAGACTGCTCCCTGACTGTGACGTATGTGATGGCTTGAATTAGGATGCTGACCCCCATTAATCCGAGCAGAGGAACAAGGACCTTGCGGGAAACAAGGTCCGCTGTTGGTCGCTTTCTGCAAAGCCTTTCCGCCGGCCCAGCCCAGCCCATAAAGACAGCGATGGGAAGGATGAGGAGAAGGTCGATGAAGAGGAACTGAAAGTCCCCCAGATTCGAGCCTTTGGAATAGAGGAAGCTGACCGATGTGAACTGAATTGCCGAATACAGACTCATGTACTTGAAACAACTGAAGCTTGTTACAAGAGCCGCCCGCCCCTCTCTGCCAACTGGTTAATAGGGGATGGGTTGAGAGCAGCAAAGTATTAAGCTTACCTGATGACTTCTAGGACACATCGTATGTCGAAGACCTGCGATGTGAATGGTGCGGCAACCGAAGCCTCCGCCTGCGACAACGAAATGCCCACATCCGCAGCCTTTAGAGCGCCGCAGTCGTTTGCGCCGTCGCCACAAAAGCCACATGAATAATCTATGCTTTGTAACTTCTCAACCAATTCGTGCTTTTCGTCTGGTGACATCCTAGCGAAAACTTTGCCTTTCACGAGCATCTTGGTAGTTGTTAGACCACTTCGCAACCAACGTGAATATGAGTAGACGTACCTTTGATAATAAGTCCGCCGGGGCGTAGTCGACTATCCAGCGGAACACATCGCCGCTTACAGCCAGAGAGTAGTTTTGCATATTGGAAATGTCGTAGGGAAGCGAGATGTCGCCTTCTGGTGGCGCTGGAAGCGGCTGTTCATACTTAGCACAATTTTGCCCAAACACAAATGATGATGATGGTATTGCCAGGTCTTACCGTCAGACTTGTACTGTCGAGACAATAGATGCTGTTGTCAATGCTCTCCCACTGCAACTCTGCCGTGGGATCCCGAGAGTCACCTAACTAGGGTCAGCCTCATGGCACGAAAAAAGTCCTCGGACTTGCGCTGACTGACCATGAAGAAATCGAGGCACATAGCATTGCGCATGGCGGTCAAGAAGGCCGCACTCTCTGGCAACACTGACAGCCGTTAGAATGTTATCGCCTGTTACCATCACAGTGGCAATGTTGGAATCTTTGAGTTCCTTCAAAACTCCCGCTGTGCTTGGCTTCAACTTGTTCTCAAAAATGATGAAGCCAATGAAATCAAGATCTCGCTCAACTTCAGTACGGGTCATCTTTTGCGCCTTAACCCAACTCAGCCGGTTAAGATGTCGTGTTGCGCAGCCGATCACACGATAGCCCTTGTGAGTATAGTAAGAGAGCAACTCGTCATAATCCTTTGGAACTAACGGGATTATTCATTAGTTTGTGGTGCTGACATGGGCAAAAATCTTGCTACTCACTGCTACTAGGCCGACATATTTCACGCATAGCTTCTGGTGCGCCCTTGACGAATATGTCACCATCCTTCTTCCCAAAGTGTCTCACGATAACGCTGGATCTTCGGAGCTGCGAGACAAACTCAAACGACTTGAGAACGCCTAGTTGGACAGATCTCTTTACGCCTTGATTAGCTTGCAATACTCATAGTTATATGTCGTCAAAGACTTACATCTGGCGGGGAGGCAATCGAAGGCGAAAGACTTCCGTATTCTTCTTCTTCACCTTCCACAACATTGTGCTTCCCTTCTTCAAAAGACCAGCCTGTAAACTCGAACATTTTGAGATCTAGGGGATCGCCAACAAGCTCGCCGTCAACAGAGCGAAGGGAGTGACATGTTGCCATGGCATGGAGAGCGGCTTGCAAGATGCTCTGAAAAGAAAGGCTTGTCTCTCGTTGCTCGAAGAGATGGGGCTCCGAAATTACATCACTAAATTTATGCTCGTCCACTGAAACAACTCGAACTCCAAGGACATCCAGGCCGTCTTCTGTTAGCGTGCCTGTCTTGTCGAAGCACATGATATCGAGCTTTCCGCCGACGTTCACTCTCTGTGGGCTGATGCAGAAGATCTTGGCCTTCTTCAAGCGGGCAAGTGCAAAGTTGGTGCCAATAGTTAATGTTGCAGGTAAAGCTGGCGGCACAACAATGGTTATAAGATCAAGGGCACGAACAATGATCAAATGCCACTCCAGCTGCAGCCGGATGAAGTTGATGAAAGAGGTGATAAATCCAAGCAGGGCAACAACGGCCATGACACTGATATACCTGAATGAATCGCGATAAAACTTGAATCCTGAGGGCTTGGGGAACAGCATGGATCGCACGAGAGCACCCTTGGTAGTACTGAATCCGATTCTGACAACCAGCGCCAGAGCAACTGCATCACCACCCAAATCTTCTTGGGGACGCCTTGCTCGAATGATTTTTGTTCCACAGAAGAGAAAGTGGCGTGCAACTTCAGGAGAAACGGACGAAGCAGTAAGGTCGAGTTGTGCCAGTGTACTGTCCGTCGCTGGAATCTTCGAAACAGGAACAGACTCTCCCGTAAGCATGCTCTCATTGACGATACAGTCACCTGTAAGCAACAAGCTGTCGCTGGGAAGCTGTGACAGGTTAGGGTCGCTTAATTCGTAAACATCACCAGGAATAAGATCGCCTGACGAGATGTATGTCCCTTTGAACGTTAGCGGTGGCTCGTATCAAACAAGCTCTGGGTATACTACTTACAAAATCCATTCCGAAGAACTCGGACGTCGCATTCAAAGCGAGAAATTTCGCGTAGTCGTTTCATTGTCTTTTAAAGTCAGATATGTATACCCATATGAAATTTAGGTGAATGAAGAATTGGTACTTACTGCCCGGGTTTCAATGAGGGTCGTCGCTATGCTTCCAACTGACATGACGAAAATGCATATTGCGTAGTAGTAATATGAATCCAGTGACCAAAGAATGATACTAGCAATCTGGAATATGTAGAATGGATGCAGCACCTGGTTGAATGGTCAGCTTATGATAAGAATCAGGAAAGAAAATATACTCTCATTGCAATTGCTATCAGTGAATCTCTCTGGGGGGGGGGGGGGTATTTACCTCGTCAACGAGCAGCTGGCCCACAGATTTTTGCTCTATGTCAATAAGATTGTTTCCAAAGATGGTCTCGCGAGTCGATTTCTCGTCACTATCAAGACCGGTCCGTACAGCTTGCATATCGGTCCAACCGGGATCTTTCCATCCACTCAATAGAACGAATTTATCCTTGAGAGGGTGGTAACAAAATCGAACGTAACGATAATTGAGCGATCGAAGGTCATCGACGACAGGATCATTATCATCATCCAGGCCATAAGATAAAGACTTCTCTGGGAGTCCAAATATAGAAGAAAGGGGCTGACCGTAGTCCTGAATTCGCACTTGTTGAATTTCCATCTCCCCCCACTGATTCTCAATCACAACCCAGCTGCAGTCTCTTAGAGGACAGGCCTGCCCTAAGAGAGAGATGTACAGCCTGGGTAGCCATCTGAAGACTAGATAGGCAATACCTCCAGTCAGAATGCACACGGCGATATACGCTATATAGCCTGCGATTCTTGTGCGGAATCCAGCAATTGCAATTGTCAGATCCTCACTCTCCACGTAAACTTTTTGACTCGTGCGATTGAACGGATGTGAGCTAGCAGTGGTAATGTTGCTATCTCTACGAAGAAGATGCGCGTGTACAGAGGTACGCGATTGCGTCGAGGAACATCGATGAAGCATATAGTCGTGATTGTAAGCCAGGAAGTCGTCATCCGCCGAATGATCGTCATCGTCGTCTAGCGCCGATATGGCGAATTCGTGGTTGTCTCCTGGTTGGATTTAGTACTTTAAGAATGTCTAATAACACATGAACTTCTACCAATATTCCGTACCTATGTCATTGTTCGTCTCATCGTTCTCGTAATAAACGAAGCTGGTCGTTGAATCGGCTCGAGTTCGACGATGGGAAAATGCCGAGACACTGCTTGGAAGGCTTTCGGCAATGGGACCAGAGTAGAGCTGTAAGACAGTGGTTAGCAGTTTGTGATAGTGATACTGGACTCCTTCTCAAACTTCCACTTGCCTCATCGTGTGCCATCTCGACATCGTCAAAGATACCCGAGCTACTCTGATTGCTGTCGGGGCGTAAATATGGAGGACGTGGACGAGCCGGAACAGCAGCCGGCCCACCAGCCGGGGTTGCTGATGCAGTATCACGGTGATCCATTGCGACTGTCTATTCGAGACTACGGTTCATGACGGAGATACAAGAGAAAGGCCGGTGGGAAAGGATATGATGTGAAGGGCGACTTGATCCAGGACTCTTGACTAAGTCATACTGCAGAGTCATACGAAGTTGCCGGTGACAGATTATCGGTGGCAAGCAGGCCAGGTATCACCTACGATGCACAGCGCTCTCGGGCGCCGGTTGTACAGACTGGATATCGCACCGGTACGTGAGTTAAAGAGGGTTCGATTTCGCTTGAAGCATCAACGCGCAGAAGAAGCGCGATAAGAATATGACAATCTAGGTGCAGCTACCTTAGTCCCAAGAAGATATGGCCTAGGAATAAAAAGTACTAGGTGCGTCTTGGCACACCGATAAGTTGCGATAAGCCTTGCGGTGAGTACATTGGGTACATGTAGCAGGTGCCTCGGAGGACGAGGCAACTTTGAAATAGAACGGGTTCATTCATCATGGTTACTATAACAATTAATGGTCTTTATGTATATCCTCGCAGGAACGGTAACTAAATTTAATTAAATAATATCAATATGAAATATAATCCCCTTGAATATTGGCAAATTCTCTAGTCTTTGTCAATGTATTCATTTTATTTTTTATTTATTAATAATCTTTTTTTAATAAAAAACATGCATCGAGTCCTGCGTAGGTACTAAGGTAGACACTGCGTTAACTCTTGTACTATAAGGAATAAATACATTAGTGTCAGTGGGATATTACGCAATTATTAAATAAAATCATAATACTTACTTAATGCCCTGTTTCTTTAGTATAAATAAGTTACTTTCTTCTTTAAGATTAAACCTTAGATAGTTATATAATATATATTAATTAATTATAAATTTTCTATAGTTATAAGCCTAAAGATATATAATAAAATAAAATATTAAGCTTTTAAGTAATTTAGTATATAATTATTAAAAATTAAAGCTATTATTATAGTTAAAGAGGAAGTATTTAATTTAAAATTAAGTATTATAATTAAGGGTTTTTTAATAAAAAAGTAAATTTTAAAATTAAAAAAATATAATAATTAATATATTTAAAATATTAACTTAAGTTTTTAATAGCTTTATTAAGGCTTAAAAAATATAAAGCTTTTAAAATTAAAAAGTAAGCTTAATTAAAAGTTATTTATAAAAAATATATATTTTATAATTAAGTATATAAAAATATAGTAATTTATTAACCCTAAAGGTATAAATAATCTTAAGGTTTTTAAAAAATTATTAGTTTTTTTTATAAATAAAAAGTATACTTAAATTTTTAATAAATTTAATATAATAATTAAATTTATATTAATTTTAATATTATTAAAGTTTATAAAAACTTTAAGTATAATTTTATAATAAAATAATAAAGTTTTTTAAATTATAAAAATAAAAATATTAAATATTAAAATAAAGTAAGAAATTAATATTAAGTATATTAAATATTAAGAAAATAAAAAAAAGTTTAAAATTATAAGTTTTTTCTTAAATATTTAATAATAATAATTTAAAAAAAGGTTTTTATAAAGTAAAAAGCCTAAGTTAAGTATAAAAAGTTTTTTTAAAATTTTTTATAAATTTTTAAGTTTTTTATTACTTTAATTTTTAATTAAAATAAGTAAAAGACTTTAAATATTTATTAAAAAGTTATAAAGTAAAAAAAAATATAAAATTAATTTTAATAAATTAATAATTTTAATAAAATATATAATAAATATATTAAACTTAAAGTTTTTAAAATTATAAAAGTAAAAGTAATTAATAAATTTTTTATAATATTTTTATTTAATTATTAAGTTTTTTAAATAATAAAAATTATTAAAGTCCTTAAATAAAAGTAAAAAAAAAACTTTAAATTTTAGTAAGTAAATTATTAACTTTATTTAATAATTTTATAAAAATTTAATTAATTAAGGCTACTTTAATTATAGAAAATTATATATAATAATTATATAAATTTTTATATTATAAATTTTTTTTAAAAAAAATTATAAAATAATAAAAAATTAAAATTTTAATACTTTAGTAATTAATTAACCTTTATTAAATACCCTAGCTACTTTTATATATACTTTATTAAAATTAAAAAAACTTAGTAAATTAAGTATTATAACTTTATAATATTCTTTAGCCTTAATTTAAAAATAGCTTCTAAAGGCTAAATTATATATAAAAAGTTAAAGAAAAAGCTTAATTAATACTTTAGGAAAAATATTAAAAAAAATTAATAATAAAATAACTAAAATAAAAAAAAATAAAAAAAATAAAAAAATCATTAAAGAAAAAGCTTAATAATAAAAAAGCTTATTATAATTAATAATATAAAACTTAAATTATAAATAAATTATATTCTTAAGGTTAATAAAATAATTATATAAAAATTTAAAAATAAAAAAATAAAAAATATTATAATTTATAACTTAAGATTAAATACTTATATATTTAATTATATAAGTTAGTTTAATTAAGAAGAATTTAAGTAAAATAAAAAAAAATATTAATAAAAGTAATTAAAAAAATTATTAAAAAAATTTTTATATAAAAATAAATAAATAAAAATATATTTTTATTATTTTTATAATATTAATATAAAAAACTTAAATTAAAAAAACTTAATTATTATATATAATAATAATTTATAATATTTTTATATATATAATTAAAATTATTTATATTTTAATTTTAAATTAAAATTAATTTAGAAATATAATAAAAAAACTAAATAAATTCTAAACTATATATTTATATATACTTACTAAAGTTTATAAACTAATATAAACTTAAGTTTTAAAAATAAAAATAATATTATAAAGGTTATATTTATTATTAAGAAGTTTAGTAAAGCTATAATAACTAAGTTAAAGAAAAGCTATACCCTAGCCTTTAGTTTAAAATCTAGAATTAATCTATAGCTTAACTTAATTAGCTATAGCTAACTAAGTTAAACTTTAAAAATTTAAGCTATAAAGTATAATTACTAATTAAGGTTTAAGACTAAACTTAAAATATATAAAAAGGCCTAAATAATAAGGTTTAAGTATAATATAAGCTTTAAGCCTATAACTTATAGTTTAATAACTTAACTAGACTAAATAAGATTATTTTATTAGGTTATAAAAGGCAGTGATAATTCTATTTAAAAATAAATTACATATATAATGCAAAAGACTACTTAATAAAATAATATACCTTATATAAAAGTAATAAACCCTTATAATAACTACTATAAAATAAGTTAATAGCTAACTAAAGTCTATTATAAATAGTTATAATAGCTAAAGGTAATAAGAAATTAATAATAATTACTGCTAAGATAATAATTATTACTGCGAAAACTTATAATCTTAATATTATTAATATTATAAAAAAAGTTTACTAAAGCCTAAAGAATAAATAAAGTAGAAGAGGGTAACTTAAACTAATTATAAAAGAGAAAATGTAAATTAGCTAGGCTAGCTAATAGCTATTAAATAAAAGTTTAATAATAATTATTTTAATTTTAGCTCTTAGGTAATTTATCCTTTATACTTAGGAAAGAAAAATAATATTATTATTTTTAAATTTATATATAAATATAAAAATAATTTTATTTAATAATTAAATAAAAGTTATAAATATTAAAAATTAAATATATTTTAAATATATAATAATTTTAAAAATATTATAAAAATATAAAAGTTTTTAAAAAAATTATATATTAAAAATAAAACTTAAATTTTTTTTTTAAATAACTTTAAATTAAAAAAGGGAGTTAGTAATTATTATAATAAAATTATAAAAAAGGAAAATTATTATTAAAAATACTTTTTATATTTTTTTTATATATATAAATATTATTTTTACTTATTAATTCCTTTAATTAAACTTAATTTAAAATTAAAAATTATATAAAATTTTATAAAATATTATAAAAAAAGTAATAATATAATTTATAATAAAGTATTAATAGTTTATTATTACTAAGTATATTTATTTAATTATAATTATATTAATTAGTAAAAAAAAAGTTAATATAATAATTTTAAAAATACTTATATTATTTATAAAAATAAAAAAAGATTTTTAATATTATTATACTAATTATATAAGTTATAAAATATTAAAAAACTTTATTAAAAATACTTTAAGTATTAAAATAAATAGCCTTTATATATATAAATATAAAATTTATATATTAAGAAAAGTAAAATATAAAATCTTAAGGGTATATATTACCTTTAATACTTAAAGCCTTAGGAGAAGTTATTTTAACTAATTTATAATTAATAAATAAAATAAATTATAATAAAAATAAGTTTTAGTTAATTTTTACTTATATAAATACCTTAATAAAATTCTTTTTTTTAAGTTTAAAAAAAATATAAAGTATATATTTTAATAATTTTTAAAAAATTTTTAAACTTAATTTTATATTAAAGTTAAGGTTATTTAAATTAATAATAAAATAATATTTATAAAATAACTAAAGTAAAATTAAGTAATAAATTTATAACTCTTTAGTATTTAATTTAATAATTTTAAAATTAAAACTTTAGTATTAATAACCCTTTAGTAAAATAAATATATTAAAGTAAGTATAAGGGTTATTAAAAAAAAGAAAAAATAATAATATTAAATATAAAACTTTTAAAAAAATTATAATTAAAAACTTATTATAATATTATTTATTTCTTTAATAAAACCCTTATAAAAATAAATTAAAGTTAAAAAACCTTTTTTAAGTTAAAGTAATTTTAAATAAAGTAAAATAACTTTTTATTTTAATATTTTTTATTTAATTTATAACTAAGGCTTTTATATTTAAAAATCTATAGCTATATAATATATTTTATAATTAAATAAGCCCTAGAGTATATAAAATTATATTATTAACTTAAGTAATTTAAAAAGAAAATATATATAAAATATTTTATTAAATATAAGGCTTTAATTTAATATATTATTTAAGTTCTTTTACTAAAAACTAAAAAGCTTATTTAATTAGTAAATATTTATTTTAATAAAACTTAATTATATAATAAAAAAAAGTTATAAAAAATTATAATATTTATTTTAATTAAGCCCTTAAAAATATTAAAGTTAAAAATATTTTTGGTAAAGTTAATAAGAAATTTATTTAAGAAATAAAGCTAAATTATAAGTTAAGTATTTTAAACTTTAGAAATATATTAATAAAGCTTAAGTAAAAAAAAGTAATAAATTAATTAAATTTTATATTATACTTAAGGGAAATAATTATAAAATTAAAATTATTATATTTTTTATTATTTTAAAAAAAATAATTATAAAATTAAAATTATTAAATTTACTACTTTTACTTTTATTATTATAAAAATTATAATTAATTATAAAAAAATAAATAATAAATTATCCTTTTATAAAAAACTACTATTTTTATAAATTAAAATAAAAAAAGCCTTAGTTATTATTAATAATAACTATAATAATAAGTAATAAAAAAAGCTAAATTTTTAACCCTTAAAAAAGAAATATAATAAATAGTAAAATATAATAATAACTTTATTAAAATTCCTAAATTACTTAAGAAGTATTAATTAAATAATAATAAGGCTAGTAATTAATGAATTAAAAATAAAAATATTAAAAAAAAAGAATTAATATAATTTTAATAGCTAATATATTAAATACTATAGTTAAAAAGGCTATAGGCCTAAATTAATATATTAAGAATTTACTAAGGCCTTTATATAATTATTATAAAATAATATAAAATTTATATTATAAAAACTAGTTTTAAAAAAAAAAGTTATAATATAATATATAATAAAAATATTTATTAAAAAAAACTTAAAAAGTATATTATAGAAAAATTTATTACTTTTAAAGTAAGTTTTTATATCTAAAATTAATAAAAATAATATTATTATAAAGTTTAAAACTAAGCTTATAATTTAAAAAGATAAGTAATAAAATCTATAATAAAAAACTTATATAATAATACTTACCTTTAGTTTATTTAAATTATTATATATTATTTATTATAAATATAATTATAAAATAAAGTAATATAATATTATTAATATATTTTTAAATATAATATTAAAAAAAATATTTTTTACTTTATATTATTAAAATTTCTTAAGCTAGGGAAATACCTTAAGGTTTTAAAAACTTTATATAAACTTAAAAATACCCCTAGGCTATAGTTTAATAAAATTATAGGATTTTTTAAAAATATAAGGTTTAATTAATACTTTAAGAATTATTATATTTTTATATAAAAAAAAATTTTTTTATTAATAATATAATTAACTTATTTTTAAAGGGTTAAAAAGAAAAATAATAAAAAGTTTATAATAAATTTATAAATACTTTTAAAATTAAGGATTTAAAAAAACTTTATTAATTTCTAAGGATTAAAATTATTAAAAACTATAAAAAAAAGCTTTAGTTATTATAAGCCTTATATATAGCTTAAATAGTTAATAAGCTAATTAAGTATAAAATTAAAGGTTTAAAATAGTAACTAAGTATATTATTATTAAAGAAATTATTATATTTATTTAATTAAGCTTATAATAAAACAAATTATATTATACTTTTATTATTAATTATTTATTATATTCTTTAATTATAGTAAAGCTTAACTTAATATTTATAATAATAAAGCTATTATAATTTTTATATAACTTATTAAAGTAATATATTACTATAATAAAAATATACTTTAAATATACTTTTATAATAAAATCTTTTTATATTTATTATATTATAAAAATTAAGAAGTTAATATTTAACTATAATATTAATATATTATTTATAAATAACTTAAAAATTAAGAAATTATCTTAAGAATTTATTTTTAAATTATTTAATAACTTTATATTATAAAAGTTATTAAAGTAAATTATAATTATAATTTTAATAACTAAAGCTAAATTATTAGCCCTTAATAATATAATAAAAAAATATATTTAAAAAATTATTAAAAAAAATAAAAGTAAAAGTTATAAACTAAATAATTATTTTTTATAATAATTAATAAACTATTTAATTTATATATAATAATATAAAGAAATTATATAAAAAAATTTACTATATTAATATATATTATTATTAACTTTAAAAAGTAATATTATAAAGCTAGCTTAAAGTTAAGTATTTTAAATTAAGGGAAATAATAGTAAATAATTTTATAAAAATATTAAATTATTAATTTTATTAAAAATTTATTTAATAGCTAAGAATATAATTAAAACTTTAAAATTAAATAAATCCTAATATAATTATTAATAATATTAATAACTAAGAATATTATTAATTACTAAATAAGATTATTTTTAATTATTATAAATAATTATATATATAGTTTTTATAACTTTTATATATTAAAGTAAAGATTATAAAGCTTATATATATAATTAAGTATAATAATTAAATAAGTAAATAAGTTATTATTTTAAAACCCTTTAAAAAAATTATAATTTTATAATTATAAAAAGTTATATAAAGGCTATATATAATTAATAAAGCAATAGTAAAATTATTAAATTAATAGCTTTTTAATAAAGCTAAATTTAACTTAAAAAATTAAAGAAATCCCCTTTAATAATTAAATTAGTAAAAGTATTAAATTTTATTTATTTTTATTATTATAATAGCTTTATTTTGATACTAAATTAATTATAAGGCTTAATTTAAAGGGGTATATTAGTAGGATATTATATAATTATTAGATAAAATTATAATACCTACTTAGTGCCCCGTTTCTCTAGTATAAATAGGTTACTTTCTTCTTTAGGATTAAACCTTAGATAGTTATATAATGTATATTAATTAATTACGGATTTTCCACAGTCAGTCTCTGATCAAAGATCGTTTCTATTTTTATCCCGCCCGAGATTCTCTGCCAGGCAGCAGCAGCACTACAGTCTGGCTGGCCATGACTTAAAAAAGTACGTACCGTCTTTCGCCCTGCAGTCGAGGGTTTCGCGCTCATTCGACGCGCCTCAGGCCTGATCCGCTAGCTAAATTTTCTCGAACCTGAGGCCCCACCACCTCTTAGCCACCGCCAACGCCTCCTCCCAAAACTTTCCGTTTTCACATTCGCACAATCCCCAACAGCCTCAGTTTGTCCTTGTATGATTTTTTGCTTGCCCAGTGAACACCATGGCTGAGCCTATTCGAAACAAGCGGTCCGACGTGTCTACTGCGCCGTGAGTGATGAATTTTTCTCTCGTCTCAGCTGCATCTCAACGGTACTAACTACCCCGCCTTCAGTACACCGCAGAACACTCCGGCAACCAACGCGCCCATATCCTCCCGAGCCCAGCAGCCCGGTGTGGCCAGCATCAAAGAAGGTAACTCAATCCATATGATATTCCCAAGGAGAGCCTATCTAATGAGGTGATTCCCGTGTACAGATGACATGGAAAGGGCGGCTGCTGCCTCTCTCCTGGCGCAAAACCCCAAGCTGGTTCAAATGATCCAAGGACGACTTGGCTCTCTCATTGGACAATCTTCTGGATACATCGAGTCTCTCCCCGCCCCCGTCCGCCGTCGGGTCTCGGGTCTGCGAGCAATCCAGAAGGACCATGCTAAATTGGAGGCTGAGTTCCAAGAGGAAGTTCTCCAGCTTGAGAAAAAATATTTTGCCAAGTTCACTCCCCTTTACGAGAAGCGATCTGCCATCGTCAATGGCAAGGTTGAGCCCACAGAGGAGGAGGTCAAGCGAGGAGATGAGGATGATGAAGAGTCACAAGATGCGGCTGAGGCTGCTGGAGAGCCTTCACAGCCAACCGATGAGGCATCCGAGGCTGTTCAAGGTATCCCTGAATTCTGGCTGTCAGCCATGAAGAACCAAGTCACGCTTGCGGAAATGATCACCGACCGCGATGAGGCCGCGCTGAAGCACCTTATTGATATCCGCATGGAGTACCTTGACAAGCCCGGCTTCCGTCTCATTTTCGAGTTTGCCGAGAATGAGTACTTCTCAGACAAGACCATCACCAAGACATACTACTATCAGAATGAGAGCGGCTACGGCGGTGACTTCATCTATGACCATGCCGAAGGTTACAAGATCAACTGGTACCCTGGCAAAGACTTGACAGTCCGTGTCGAAGCCAAGAAGCAGCGAAACAAGAGTGAGTGTCATCATTATTACCTTGGCTAGTGTTGCTCAACGCTAACTTATATGCCGTAGACACCAAGCAGACCCGAATCGTTAAGAAGTCAGTGCCGACGGAGTCCTTCTTCAACTTCTTCTCCCCTCCCAAGCCCCCCACCGAAGACGCTGATGCGGACGACGATGTTGCCTCCGATATCGAGGAACGTCTCGAGCTTGACTACCAGTTGGGCGAGGATATCAAGGAGAAGTTGATCCCTCGTGCCGTCGACTGGTTCACTGGCGAGGCTCTTGCGTATGAGGAGTTTGACGAGGAAGACATGGACGGTGCCGATTTCGATGATGACGAGGATGATGAGGACGACATGAGTGAGGACCACGATGACGATGAGGAGTCCGATGAAGACGTGAGTTTTCTTATCCCTATACCCCTTCAGCATCTGTCTATAATGGGGCTAACAAAAATGATACAGGACGAGTCAGGAAAGCCTAAGCAAGAGGCTGCCGAGTGCAAACAGAGCTAAGCAACAAAATCTGCCAAGGTTTTAGAGGCTGGGAGCTTTCAATATTTTAGAGGGAAGGAAACCGAGGGAAAAGATGCTCAAGTGGACAAGGACTGAGAGGAATGGCGTATCTGAACTAATGACATCGCTATATGTTTTTTTGTTTCATTGGTGATCGTCTCCAAAAGAATGTTTTGTTTGTCTTTCGCGTACTAGGAGATTCATCTCGATAATAGTAACAGGTACCAGGGCAATACTTGTTTGTTTTTTTCTAATAGTTTAATAGGGAATGATTTCTTGTGGTTTTGGAACATGTAATCTCTTCGTAAAGATGAAGCTGTGGTATTCAGCAGCGCTCTTTTCTTTTACTAGCTGATCTAACATCTCTCCGCTCATATATGTAGTAGCTCTCCTCTTGAAACTTCCACCCACATCTAGTTTGCTTACTTCTTCCTCTGCGGCAGTGCCTTCTGCGCCGTAGTCTCTTTCGGCAGCTCTTTAGCAAAGGGGATAAAATCAGGGGTTCCAGGCAAATACTTCCTGAGCACCTCTGGTACACGCAGACCCTACATTGATGTCAGAAAACCGTTATTGGCCAAGGACAGTTATGGAACGGATGGGGCTCACCTCTTCTGTTTGGTAGTTCTCAAGAACACAGCACAGAGTTCGTGTTGTGGCGCACAGTGTTGAGTTTAACAAGTGAACGTACTTCTTCTTGATATCTGTCTGGGTCTTGGTTCCACAGCGAATCTCAAGGGCGCGAGATTGGTAGTCAGTGCAGTTGGAGCATGACACGAGCTCCTTGTACTCTCCTTGGTAGGGGAACCACGCTTCCAAATCCAGCTTCTTGGAGGCAGCATCGTTGAGAGCACCAGACACGATAGCAACAACCTGATATGGCAGGCCGAGAGACTTGTAGAACTCCTCTGAAGCAGCAATCATGTCGTCAAATGCTTCCCAGGACTTCTCTGGGTCGGCAAGGAGGAATTGCTCGATCTAGGAAGGGAATCAGTATTTTTTATCGCAGCTAAGTGAGTAAAGTGAGATTACCTTTTCGAACTGGTGAACACGGTAGATACCCCAGGCATCTCGGCCGTGGGAGCCAGCCTCTCGTCGGTAGCACGTGCTATAGCCAGCATATCTATCGCCGATTGTCAGCGAAGCAACTTTCATCTAATGACTGCAGCCTGAGCTTACTTGATGGGAAGGTCCTTGGGCTGGAGCCACTCGTCGGCATGGAACGCAGAGATGGGCTGCTCAGACGTGGCGATGAGATACTTGTCGTTCTTCGAGTCTCCGTCCACGACCTTGTACAGCTGCTCATCGAAATCGTCCAATTGAGCAGTCTTAGCCATGTAGTCCTTGAGCATGAACTGAGGCGCCTGGAGAGCAGTGTATCCCTTCTGGGTCAGGAATTCGAGACCGTAGTTTACCAGCGCCTGGTTGAGAAAAACTCCCCACTGGCGAAGGAAATATCCACGGTGGCCAACGACCTTGACACCTCTGTCAGGGTCATATCCGTCAAGTCGGAGGAGGACCTCGTGGTGAGACAGGACCGGTCGCTTCTCTACGGTAACGCCCTCGGGGGCCCACGTTCGCTGAACTGCGTTGTTGTCCTATCGCGCGGTAAGTTAGAGGGCGACAGAGTATAGGATAGATGGCTGATTCAAGGGAAACGTACCTCATTGTTGCTCACGGGCACAGAGTCGGCAACAATGTTGCCTACTGACCTGACCTTGGCCTTTAGCAGCACATCCTTCTCGGCTGCCGACTCGATCAGAGACTTCTTCTCCTTCTCCAGCTCAATTTTTTGCTTGAGAAGATCGTCGGCGTTCTCCTTGGCCTTTGCGTCGTGTCGTCAGCATACTGATCAGTTAGAGCAGCAGCTAGATGGACCCTACCTTCTTCTTGGTCGCGATCTGCTTCTGGACGTCGTTTATCTTGCCATTTAGCTGTGTTGCGCTGTACTGGGCTGCGAGGAACGGCGTTAGCATATCTGGATTTGTCGGAACCGGATCAAGAGAAAATGTTTACTTCGGCGGTGGTCCTCGAACAAGGCAATGATCTCGTCCACAACCTCAACATTGGCGAAGCGCCGGCGTTGCGATTCACGAATCTTTTCAGGGTTTCCGCCCCGCTCGGCGATGAAGTCGTTGACGTCGAGCATGGTGCACGAGCTTGGGCCGGGTTCGCTTTTCGGGTCGTTGTTTGAATCTCACGAGAGTTGCAAGTTCAGGACCAAAAAATATCAAGATAAGTGTGACTAGTCTGGGCTCAAGAGATGTTGATCGAGTCACAGACAAAAAATGGAGGGGTGAGCCAAGGTGGGGTTTCGACTGTTTTACGCGACCCTGGCGCTTCGGAGTGCTACGAGCGAGTCCTTGTAGGGCTTCTGGACTACGTTTATAGAACATTCCGGGCAATTTATCCAACCCATAGATACTTACCCATTGCGCGCCACGGCATTTGCTGAGGTGGTGATATTTTGAATGTATTCCCGATGACTGTATCTGTGGCTACTGGTATTTTATTTTACTGCAAGATAAATGTCTTATTGCTAAACGTTAACCAAAACAGACAACTAACAAGGGAAAAAAAAGAAATCCTAGAAAAATCCGTGTGGACGCAGTCACCAAAAGGTCGTGGCACACGAGGCATTGAACGATGTTAATCCGAGCAGTTACTGATTGTGCAATTCCACACCGCCATCCGTCCCCAATCTTATTGCGACTCCTCCTTCTCTTCTTCCCATTCCCATGCTTCCCCTAGATTCAGTGTATATAATTCAATTCTTTTGCACTGCATCGTAACGGATCTGCTCCGTAATAGCCACCGACCCCCAATGTGGTCCAGCCTACGGTAGATGGATGCCCCTCATTGGCAAGGGTGTTTTAGAACTGTCATGTATCTCATCTGATTGGACGCCGGGTTTAAGCATCTGCATTGGGACTGCCGTTCTCAATGCGCCGACTTGCATCGCGATTCCTTGCATCAACTTTGTTGCTTTAACAACATGTGACAGGCGTCAATTTCAACACGGAGTCAGGCGAAACCCTCAGAATATTCATCGCTCATCAACTATGGATTCTCAACGGCCGGCCGAGGCGCCGCGCAGAAAAATCGCCACCTACGGGAAACTGTCGTCTCGAGGACCTCGCGCTCATGCGACCTCAGCTCCGCAAACACCGTCCAACAGAGAAGTGACACCGTCGACGACTCTTCGACAGAAGCTCCCCAGTCTGCCTCCCCCGCGATTTGGCGATTCTTCGCGACCGCAGAAAACGTTGCATAGTGCCCCGGTCTCGGATCAGGAAACGGCTCGCAAACAGCGTGATCGCGAGACAGAGACACCACGAAAACGGAGCCACAGATCTGCTTTTGGTATGGAATCAACCAAAGGAACGGTGGACATGCTGCCCACTCGCCGCGCGCCAAAACCACCCTTGTACCGGAAGCTGACATGGGGCCTGTATGGAACAGATGCGAAAGATCCAAAATCCAATTCTCTTGAAACGGGATTCGCCGATTCTCACGAGACAGTCTCGCAAGCGGTGACGCAGAAAGTATCTACCGCAGTTGGTACAAGCACCGCCAAACTGGGAAAAGAGGCCGAGGCAAACGCTTCCTACACGAATAAAGTGTCGGATACACCGCCGACGCGTCGACGTCGTTTGATCGATGCACTGGTAGCCGAAGAGAATATCACTTCTAGCTCAAATGTCACTTCTAGCCCAAGCCCAAGCCCAAGCCGCAGTCAAAGCCAAATTATCGACGGCCCAGACCATGTCAACAACAAGGAGCATAAACACGCTCGCATTGACCGACCTAGCTTCCGCAAAGAGGCTCCATTGCGCAGGACCGGCTCCGATACCAGTGTGCTGGAGAGGAGGAAGGTCAAATTCACTTACAGTCAATCTCGGAGTTTTATCCAAGCTTCCCAAGAATCGGATGCCGCCGAATCCACCGACTATCCCTCCCTCTTGGACGAAATTGATTCGCCAATAAAGCGACCGCCGTCCCCAGTCATGGATGACGATGATGACGACGACCTGAAGAACAAAGTTGCCATCCGGAGTGTACACGAACTACGACGAGCTGGTGCCAACAACCGGTCGTCAGATGAAGTTGACGATCTGCTGTCTAGAATTGGGACTCCAGGCCCTCTAGCATCCACCATGCGCAGAAATGGTCTTTGTGAGCTGGCGAGCAGGCTGCAAAAGAAGGAATTTATGAACCAATTTCGCGATCATGCATCCCGAGACAACATTGCCAAGGGAATCCGCCACGAGGAAGATACCATCAGCGGATTTCTCCTTGCGGCCATTTTTGTCATTTTTCTATCAGCCGAAACCGCACCACACCTGCTCCGCCAATTGACAGAGAACCGAGTGGGTTTGTGGTTGAACAATCTCCTTGGGATACCAGAGGATGCGACTGCAATTGCGGCACAAAAGTCCACAAATATGTCGAGAGTAGGTAGAACCGCGCTGGATAGCGTCAAGCGCGCGCTGCTGGAAATGGACGTATGGCATGGCTATAAGCTGCAGCGTCTCTCTCCACGCACAATCTCCCTGCAACTGCTCTCCATGCTGGTCGGGTTGCTGGATCCGCAAGACGTCCGAGTTCTGCTAGATGATACTTTTGCAAACTTCTCGCAACTGAGATCCAGCTTTACGGAAGATGATTCCCGAGAGGATGTCGATTATGCTCTTACGGTCCTCATTATGGAGGCGGAATCGAATGCCACAGCGCTCACCGATGAACCGTTGATGAAGATACGGCAAGAAATGTCTGACATCGCTGCGTTTCTCCAAAGCATGCTGCAACATTGGCCGAAAACTCGTCATAACATCGATGCTACATTATTAAAGCTAGCCATCAACACGACCAACAGCGAAACGAGGGCTGCTGCGCTTCAAAACGGCCGGCTACTGTCGGGCCTCGTTTGTTCCATTACTTCTGGATTTTCAGCTGTTCAAAGTGCCATACAGAGCTCAGCCTTCGAAAGCAATGTGTACGACGAGCTCTCACTGATTCTTGGAATCATGATTAACGTTTTGGAGCATTGCGCGGATGCCCGAACATCCATCCATCAAGATGAGGTTGACAAGCTTCATGAGACATGGTCTGAAAGCGAACGATCAATAGAAACGGTATGTATGAGTAACAATGAAAAAAAAGTTGACGAGTGCTAAGACATTGACAGGATGATTCGGTTGAGACGTCCAAGCTGGGCATTGCATACAGCTACCTGGCTATCATCTTGGGTTACCTGTATTTGGGCCATACTGGGCTGCCGGTGCCTGGCGGCTTAGTTCCGGCCATTCAACACTTCATCACCATCAATAAGACGGTCAATAATAAAACAGCAGAGCTGGAGCATCTTGTATATAGCCTGACTAGGCTTCGCTAGGAGCAATTTGAGATACCATGTATATATGCCACACTTAGTAGATGAAATACATTATAGGCCTATGTACGATCTGCGTACTTTGGTGACGTAACAGACTATCGAGTTACAGTGTGGTAATCACTGTACAGAGAGATGCTAGGCAGTAATTCTCGTCGTATGAATGCTGCAAACATCCCGTGAAAAAAACCACAAGGTATATGCCATATAACAGGTCATACCTGTATATCTAGTATAAAGTAATATCATTATATAAACATTATATAGCACACATTATATACTTTTTTTTTTTTTAGAAGGTCCTCTTTTGCCATGCATAGCCGTGTGCTGGAACTAGTTTTGCCTTAATCCATACCCGGCACCCGCTAGCGTCCACTGTTCCCATGTGATAATAGCGGCCCCCCAGCAGCCCATCCCACCTGCGCCTGCAGTCCCCCCCAACTGCACCAAGGTAAGTCCCCAGTATCATCATCATCATCATCAGCCCTCAGACCAACTCGAATTTCTACCCCCCTCCCGTCCCAAAAAGACCGCTCAAAGAGAACTTCAATGCCTTCCCTGAAGCAACGAAAGGTCGCCATCGTGGGCAGTCGATCCGTTGGTATGGGACTCCCGGAAGCGCCGCGTCCTTTCCTCTGCCCGCGCCCGTCAACCACGTTTTTGGCTAACCTGAAACTCACCCCAAGGCAAATCATCGCTCGCCGTGCAGTTCGTCGATGGTCACTTCGTCGACAGCTACTACCCCACGATAGAAAACACCTTCAGCAAGACCATCCAGTACAAGGGCCAGGATTACGTTACGGAAATCGTCGACACCGCCGGCCAGGTAAGATTTTCTCGAGCGCGCCGCTTCTCTTCTCGCAGATTCGCAGCGCAAAGCCGTCGAGACGCTGACGCCGGGCGCCAAACAGGATGAATACAGCATTCTCAACTCGAAGCACTTCATCGGCATCCACGGCTACATGCTAGTCTACTCAGTGTCGTCCCTGCCATCCTTTGAAATGGTCCAGGTCGTCCGCGAGAAAATCCTTAATCATCTAGTACGTGCTCCCTCCCCCAAGCATTCCGACGAAAGCATCGCCATTGCTGACATGTCTGACCCCCATCTCCCAACAGGGTACCGAGTCCGTTCCCATCGTCATAGTAGGTAACAAGAGCGACCTCCGACCAGAGCAGCGCCAAGTCAGCCCCGAAGAAGGCAAGAAGCTGTCAGAAAAGTTCGACTGCGGCTGGACCGAGGCCAGTGCAAGGTACAACCAAAACGTCGGCAGGGCGTTTGAGCTCTTGATTGCCCAGATTGAGAAATCTCAGAACCCTGGCGAGCCCCCTGCCAAGAGCAATTGCCGTGTGATGTAGCTCAAAGTCGAGCCCAAGTCGGTCGAGCCCCAAGATACCCTCAGGAGACATTTTTCTTTTGTTTTTTTTTCTTCTTTCTAGAGTTGAGAATCCGTTGCTCACCTAGGCTCTAGAGCATACCTATGCTAGCCATGATGCTAGTTGGGGTATAGGATAATGCTGCTACTAGACCATCACCATAATTATGTTGCTATTTTATTCATCAGATAGCACTGGATAAGTACGGACGGGAACACAGGTCATAAACAATAGGCAATATTGTGACAATACAATACGATTTCATGTATCGGATGACCTAAGTAACTATGGTAATACTTGGGCAGATGGCCTGTTGATGGCTATGTTACATATCTCATCATAACACATTCCGCATTTATCATACTATTTCTAGGCTTAAATGCGCAACAATGCAAGAGTATCTAAACGAGTATCATCCCAACTATATCTGCTGCAGCAATTTCTTTAATGATCAATACTGCATTATGCGTTAGCAATTCCGTTGCAAATGTTTCCGAGATGAAGGAGTTGAAGCTTACTCTTCCCACAGTCTGCCCTGTACTGATTGCAATTCTTCAACCGTCATCCGTTTGCCAGCCGTAAAGTAGCCTTACTGAGTTAGTATTCCATCCGTCTTGTGATCCTGATCGTGGGAAACACTTACCAGCAGTGATTTTGGCATCAATCTCAACTCTCGAATCCGCTGGGATAAGTTCATCCGGAAGCTCCACTCGCTCGTGAATAGGGATTCTGTGGTGGTTAGAAGCTGGACTATGCGTTACAACATGCATAAACTTACCCTTGACCAACAATTGCATCGTGTTTCATGCTTCAACGCTCGTTAGAGATAGCCACATAAAACTGTAGGTGGTAGGAGGCTCCAAGTAATCACTCACTTGCTCATACTTAGCATGCGGTCAATCTTCTTGATGCCCAGCCAGTGAAGAATGTCGGGCATCAGAGCCTGGAAACGCATGTCCTTGACTCCAGCAATGTTCTCTGTGCGCGTAAAATACTCCGACGCTCGGTCCTCGCCACGCTTACGAGCATTGTACACCACTATCATCGCCAGTCAATCCTCAGCATGAATAATAGGTAATGAAGGTATGGTTGTTAAGTAGGGTAGCCTTACGGTACTATGATGCGTGTTAGTAGAATTCCTAGAGTCCAAGACTAGGGTAGCATACCTTTGTCACCTCTCCAAGAGCACGACCTTCCTTTCTGAAGTATATAACCACGCCGCTGCCGCCGTTCTGAGCTTCCTTCACAGCCTCTTCGATGCCGAAGATCAGGTATGGCCGGCATGTGCAGATATCGGAACCGAACACATCACTTCCATTGCACTATTGCCAATCAATTCTCTATTCAAATCATGCATCGGGGAAACACTTACTTCGTCATGAATTCTCAGAGATAATCGTACGTTTTCATCGGACATTTTCTCGGGATCACCAAAACAGTAGACAGTCAGGCCCCCTGAAATATGTGGTTAGCATTCTCCTCAACTGTCCTCAACTGTCAAGTTAAAACTTTTAATAAGCTACGGCTTCTGGACGTACCGATGGGTGGAAGGAACACTTTGATATCTCCACGAGTGATCAACTATTATTGATCAGTATTGGCTGTATTTGTCTTGACGATGGACGACCACTTACCTCTGGGTAGCTTCCTCCGGTATGTTCAAACAACGATCGTCGCAGAGCGGCCTCGTCTGCGAATGCTTAGCCTTTGTATAGTATACACTCCCAAGCTAAATGCACTTACCAATTCCAAACCTCTCTGCCACACCGGGTAGGTACCAGACCTAGAGCATCCAAACTTAGCATCAGACTACGAGTTCTTGAGAACATATCCATACTGGTTCAACGGCGAACTTGGTAACAGCCAACTCTCCAAGCTCATTCAGGCAGACTTTTCCGTCGGGGACTCTATAAGATACGATAGTTAGATAGAGTTCGAAGAGTCCATATGACGCATCTTGGTGACATACAGTCGGCCACTCTTCACACTTTCCTCGAGCTCAGGCAGCTATTACTCTATGATTAGCGTACTAGAAAACAACGAAGCCCGAGAACTGTTCTTACCTTCATGTGAGCCTTGGTAATGGCAATTGTTGGTCGCATGTCGACTAGGGTCTCCATGAGCGAATGATAGCTATCTCGATGAGGGTTGTCAAATACCGTTTTGCTTTTCTATAATGTCCTTGAAGGTCCATGGAACCAGGTGACCCCAGGGGTCCATGGCAACAATCTTCTTCTTATCACCCCATTGGGGGAACGGTCCAATCTTTGCAGCTGGCTCCGTGTTTGTGTAATCAGGTCTGGGATACTCAGGGTCAGATCGAAGGCAAGACTATTATTCTTTGTTAGAACGAACCTGTGATCGGCGTTTAGCTCCTTGCTGGCAACGGCCAGGGCATAGTAGATCGAGTAAGAGCCACCGCTAGATATTGGTCAATATACATCAAACGAATTGAGACGTCGTGGTCCTTTGGATTTCTTGCAACTCACTGAGCTAGATACACATGTTAGTAGGCAGAACGAATTCATATAGACAAAACGTCAGCTTACCTCCAATGGCTGAAATGATGACATTTCTTGTTAGTCCAATACCGCCACTTCACATTACAAACACGGGGAACGAACCATTTCTGCGACGAATGGTGGACGCAGCTCTCGACACGACTACGGGTCCTCGCTGCTGGGGATCGGGATTTCCCCAGTCCATCTGGAGAGGATCAATGCCAATCTGCTTTGGATACGTCCTATGAGATCACATGTGAATGAGATGCTGGTTCATATACAACATCACCAGGTCGCAAGGGAAGACAGCACACACGTGAGCACAATTCGCGAAGTGAAGCCTGATCGGCTGCTTGGAGACAGAGCCGAACTGGGCTGGACCGTTCCATTCTCAAGGGACGATTGGAGGTCCACCGAGGCTTCAGCATCCTTTTGCTTCGGATCCTCAACACTCTCAGGGAGCAGGGGGGTCACTGGCAGCTTGGAGGTAGGGTCAAGGGTAGAGGAGCCAAGTTTACTGGTGAGTGATTCAACCGAGCTCAGCAGGCGCTGTTGGGTTTGCTGGATGTCCCGAAGTGTGTCGAGGACACCATCTTGCTGTCCATCTGCAGCCATGGGGGGCCGGAGATCCGCTAAATCGGGATAGCAGGGTTGAATAGGAGGGTAGTTTGATGTGATATGAGGGCTTCCCTGAAGAGAACAGAGCGTAGGTTGGAGAAGATAAAAGAAGGAGAAGGAAGAAAGAAGCAATCACACAAGGGCCGTGGCGAATATAGATGTAGAAGATATGCTTCAATACCGAAGGAAGAGAAGACAGTCAGGTTGGGCAGGGAGACATTCTATAGTAGTCGAGACGAGCAGTACCTAATCGTAAACGTGGAACCGCATATCTCTTACGTACCCCGCCAGTATCTGATAGGCATGCACCGGACAGAGTTTCTTACCCCAAACGACCTCAGGTAAGCAAACGGTATCAGCTGCCTTGAGTTAGTCTCACAGTATCTATACCTAACGTCAGTCGGTAGGTACCTAATGTGCTTGGGTGGTGACAACCCTCCGTACGGAGCATTAGATCGTACATTCAAGATAGCGGGATGCGGGGTTGCTTTCTCAATGTCGGCAGGCGCCGAAGCGCGGACCCCAGCCCCGTTTGGAGGGTAGCCCTCGGTATAGCACTGCGCCGCATCCGTCCTGCAGGAGAACGCTAGCGCACCGATAGTGCGATAAAAAGTGCGCCTGCACCGTTATGCACCGTTATGCACTGTAAACGGAAAGGATGCGTGCCTGCCGATAAGATAAGCGGCTGGACGGATGGTGTCTCACACGTACCAAGCGGAAACGCGATGCGACTTTCAATCACGGCACAAGAGATTGCGTTTGCCCGCTGAGCACAAACGCCATCCAACCCAACACCATGGGAAAGCGCAAGTCTTCATCTAGAAAGCCCATGGGGCCTAAAAGGGTGAGCAAAGATGATTCCGCCGATATGCCCGTCTTCCGGAACTGACTGAACCGCAGGCTGATCCCTTGCCAACCACGTTCACATGCCTCTTCTGCAACCATGAGAAGTCAGTCACCGTCAAGCTCGATAGGAGGGCTGGCGTGGGCCAGCTAGATTGCCGCATTTGCGGGCAGAAGTTCCAATGTGCTGTCAACTGTTCGTCTTTCCGGACACCCTTCCCTTTTCAAAAGCCCCGTGCGCTAACCGCAAATTCCAGACCTCTCGGCCGCGGTCGATGTATACGGAGAGTGGGTTGATGCTGCCGGTATGTCGCATGCCCTGTTGAACTTGTTTGATCATACCCCCAAAACTAATACGCGGTTGTACAGAGGCTGTCGCGAAACAAGACGCCGGAGAAGGCAATGCCGGCAAATCATATGGCGCTCGAAGACCCCTGGAAGGGAAAAACACTATTGACGAGCACGATGAAATCGACCAGCACGATGACTATTGAGTGCCTTGCTGTATATTTCTACAAAAGCAGGCTGGGATGCTACAGAACTGGGGATATTGACGCATACTACATACCAAGGTCTCATCGGAAACCCCCCCCATCTTCAAATCGTATAGAATCGGTCGCCAAAGTCTCCAAGACCAGGCACAATGTAACTGCAGCAGGGTCAGCCAATGCATCGTGGAGTCAGGATCATCATACTTTTTCTCATCCAAGCCCTGCGCACGGATTCTTATTAGTACAGGTCGTGTGAACTAGCGATCAAATATCAACACTTACCTCATCAATGAACGCCGTTACAACTTTGAGGCGAGGGAACTTGGCGGCGAAGCTCGTTATTCCTTCTGGACTAGCAATCAGGTTGAGAAACAGGATTCGGTCCTCGGGGACCCCTCGGCCCTTGAGGACCTCGACAGCCATTGTAGCGGAACCACCTTTGCAGTTGTCAGTTATGGGAGACGTTTGGCTGTGCTTTAATGTACACGGCGACAAACAGGGGGGGAGGGGCAGAAGGATGATTTACCTGTCGCAAACATGGGGTCTAGCAGAAGGACCCATCGGTTTGCAATATCTTCGGGGAGTTTATCATAGAAAAGTTTGGGCAGCGCCGTGTCCTCGTCTCGCTGAATCAATATCTTTCCAATTCTTACGGATCGACAGCAGTCACGTAATCCCTGCTCCATTGCCTCTCCCGCTCGCATGATGGAGACGCCACATATCTTGCCCTGAAACATTAAACCATTATACGTGCGGCCGACGGGTGTGGTGATGTTTTTCTCAATGACCGGAAGGTGATTTAGGCCTTCCTCTACCAGCAGTCGGATAATTCTGTTGGAGTAGAAGATGAAATCGGCGCGCTCTGTGTCCTTGTTTCTTATCATGCTGCGTGGAAAAGGTTTAGCCAAGGGCGATGCACATGAAACCAGTCGAGGGCCCTAAACCTACGATAGAAGGGCAATCAACTGGGGAGTCTGCGGCAAGACATAGACATTATCAGACGACACCACGGCAGACACAGTAGCACTCGGCTTGTCAGCGACATCCCTAAAGGTCGGGCCGACGCACTGCGTGGGTGCAGAAGCAGGTGTTGGTTTTTCAGCCATGGAATTGGGCGTGCAGAGAAAGTATTGAGCACTTTGGAAAAAGGTCGAGATAGTTGCAGCAGCTACGCGGAGCTACCTCCAAGGTAGATAGGCAGATATATCTAGTCGGGCTTCCTAGCGATAAAGAATCCTTACATAAAGAGGGGTCTGGGTCCCTATTACGTAGATATTCGGGGACCGCCGCCAGCAGGTTTGTTATCCATATTGCATATTATGGGTAAGATGGTCGACTTGGGCGTCAGATGGACAGCTTCAGGAATGGAAGCATTGGTCCCCGATTTAGCTGCTTGGCTAGCGGAGCTATGGAGAGACGGTTTAAATCACATCCTTGGATGCGGTCTCCCGCCTTGCCCCTGCGCCCTCGTGGTTTTTTTTTTTTCAAAGTAGGCATCTGGTCAGAAGATCAACATATGCGGTTAGTCAGAGGATGTGCTCCAATAATTGCATATTCCCACGGCTGCTGCGACAGAGGCAGCAAGACACCAGCATTGTCGATTGCCTTGTGCCGGTAGTCTTACAGTTGTCATACCAGTTTTGATGTATAATACTTGTGAGATTCATTCATCGATTTACGTACTCAGAATTCAGCGTTCGATTGGATGTAGAATCCCATAATAAAAGAAGAATCATGTTCTCCATTCAAGCAGCCCGATTTACAGCAAGAACGACTGGTGCATCTTTGATGTTTTCAATATCTACGCAGCTTGCACTCGAACTAGCACAGTTTCGGGCTTCCAGCTCGATTACATAATCCAACGGATCAATGCACATGGCGACTCAATTGGCGTGGCTGTTCCTTACCAGCCGAGTGGGCCATGATTAGGGCACCCATCTGGGGCACACATCTTATCTCCAATTTTCTTTTTTTTTTTCCATCTTGGTCTGTCTCTCTTTTACCTAACCACACCTCTCATTATCCTCCCCTGGCAAGCAAACCACGAGCCTCTGTCAGATAATCAATCGCCATCATGCGTAAGAATCTTTGTATTCCAGAACCGTTGTCGCAGCTACTAATTTACAGGCAGCTCCCAAGTTCGATCCCAGCGAGGTCAAGGTCATGTCAGTTCACAATGCGTCGCTTCAAGTCTCGCCAACATCAGCTCTAACATGCAGCTTACAGCCACCTCCGTGCCACCGGTGGTGAGGTTGGTGCCTCATCGGCCCTTGCTCCCAAGATTGGTCCTCTTGGTCTGTCGCCCAAGAAGGTCGGCGAAGATATCGCCAAGGCCACTGGTGACTGGGTAAGGAATATGCGTGCCCTGCAAAAAGCAGATGGCGGGGTGCTAATACCGTGAACAGAAAGGTCTCCGTGTCACCGTCAAGCTGACCATCCAGAACCGTCAGGCTGCCGTCTCTGTCGTGCCCACTGCCTCCTCTCTCATCATCAAGGCCCTCAAGGAGCCCCCGCGTGACCGCAAGAAGGAGAAGAACATCAAGCACAACAAGTCTGTCAGCCTCGATGAGATCATTGAGATTGCCCGCACCATGCGCTTCAAGTCTTTCGCCAAGGAGCTGAAGGGAACCGTCAGGGAGATGCTGGGAACTGCTCAGAGTGTTGGCTGCCAGGTCGATGGAAAGACCCCCCAGGCTGTCCTGGAGGCCATCGAGAACGGCGAAATTGATAGTATGCACCCATTTCCTGCCGTAACGCAATTTCTGATCGCTAACATTTGACACAGTCCCCGAGGAGTAGAGTGTCTGGTTCAGACCGCCTGTCCCACCGAGAGAGAAAATCTCGTTCAGTGGTGACACATCAATAATAAACAAAAAAGGTCAAACCAACAGATATCGATTTTGCCCCACGTGAAGTATTGAAATGTGTTCCCATTGCGGACTCAAAACCGCCCCCTTAGCTCACTCCGAGATACATCGTCACTACGCAGTGGTGTATTTCTATTTTTGCTCAAGGAAGAATGAATCTGGCCACTTACTCACCTCTATACCCTTTACTCCGTGGGTATATTGGTCCTTCCAATCACGCCTACATGACATACTTTAGGAATTAGTACTCTTGTTGATGACATGTTTTGGGATGCACTCGTTTGTGTCTGACTTGTATACCCCATGAAGAAAAAGGACCGTTGGATCAAGGCTGGAGTCTTTGAATATAGCACATGGACAGAATGATGACAATGAATACAATATCAATTTTTGTTTGGCTACTGCAACCTTGGCTTTACTTTTTGACGGACTATAACTGTACAGATGCCAGTTGACAAAACCATGCGTATTGAATGCTGCTAAAACAAGTTGGGCGTGTATAACGTACCCATTGCCATATTACCCAGAACAGACGACTGCCCTAATAGCTCTGTGTGCTAATAAACTGGGACAAACTCTCGAGTCACAAAAGTGTGCTACAATCCTATCGAGATACAGCCCATTCTATTATTCAAACAGCTAGTATTTTGCCACTTATTCACGGGGTAACCCACGAGCCAAAATTTGCTTCCGCGTAGGTTCCATTCAAGCACATATATGGGGTAGAAGCAATCCGAGTGTCTTTTAATATATCATAGGGACATTACCTAACCTCCCTACCCGCCTATGGGTTGTTACTCCATGTAAAATGACTGGGAAAACGGCCAGGCGCGAATCTAGCACTCGCAGGGCTCCCTGCGCCTTCATCTCTCTACAAATAACCCTTTTCAGACCTCATCCAAAACACGCTCCTTGAACTCCCGCTCGACCTTCTGGCCCTGGTCATCAGTGCCAGATTCACCGTGGAGAGCCATCAGGGCACCCAGGTCGAACTTGGGCGACTTCAGCAGCTTAACCTTGCGGATGTGGACCTGCAGAAAAAAAAGGAAGAGTTAGCAGCTGGTCAGAAAGCCTTCAACAGTAGCTGGGTAGCAGTCTAGGCCAAAACATACGTTCTGCAGGGGGTAGATGCCCTGGGTGGACTTCTCGATTTCGCGGCCGATAACTTCGGGGATCAGCTTGGAAACCAGCTGGGTGAGGGTGCAGCTGGAAGCCTCGCGCTGGATGATGTCGGTCATCTTGCGTCGGATGGCACGGATCTGGGAAGAAGCAGCGTAGGTGGTCTTCTTGATCTGGTTGGGGCGTCGCTTGGTGAAAGCAATGGCGAAGAGGCGGATGAGGTAGTCATCGGTGGTCTTGACGGTGATGTTGGCCTCAATGAGAGTTTGCCACTTGCGGACGAGCGATCGGAGCTTGTCGGATGTGAAGTCAAGTCCGTGGAAGTTGGTCAGGCAGCTCTTGCCCTGGACCTCGTCGACGCGGAGGCGTACTTTGCGGAATGAGTGGTCCTCATCCTTCTGGAGGTCAGCGAGGGAGACCTCGACGATGCGGCCCTTCAGAGCATCGTTCGCGTTCTTGAGACCGGTTGTTCGGTTCACAAGAGTCTTGCCAACACTGCAAGAACGGCCGTCAGTCCAAATTCTCGAGATTTTTTCTGTTATGACACTGCTGCGAATGCGACTCACTCTCGGATGTTGAAGGGGTTAGGAGCCTGTTGAGAACGCAATTAGCACATCTTGCAACTTTCTTCTCCTTCATCTTCTTCTTATTCTGAGCGCGTCCATACCTTGATAGAGTACCAGTCCTTTCGGGTGAAAGGGTCCACGGTCTTCTTCTTAAGGCCCTTCTTGCCCTTGGAGAGTCTCTTGTTCCTGTTCTTCTTGTTGGCCCATGTTCATTTCCAGAGATTTGCAGCATTAGATACTCACTTTCCAACAGCCATGATTCCTTACCAGCGTACGAGGAGTTGGGAATCGAAAGGTCCTAAAAAGTTGGTGGAGGGGTTGGAAGAATTTCAATTCTTGTGTGCATCAACCTGGATCTAAGCGAGCCAAACCAAAAAGGTACCGGGGCATATATTTTTCCGCTAATCTTGTGGGAATTTTTTCCAGCTCCACAACCCTCCCAGCCCTTCTCTGGCCCTCTTGCGCACTAAGGTCCAAAGTTGGCAAGTTGATCGTGGGTATCACGTGAGGAGCGCGTGTGCGGTCATCGGCCAGCTCATTGGCGGATATCGCAGGACTTGGGCAGCCTATCAAATCGCAGACATTTTGTACTCGTAGTTTGCTGGACACTGTCGGCCATGGCACGCTCTACAATGCTGAAGCAGTGCCTTCTCAACTGATGTGAGATTAGGCACTTTATACTACATGATGAATTCTGATGACTTTCTGGTATGGATCAATGGCCTTGCTTGTCAAGAGTACCCCTGATGGTTAAGCACATCCCAAACGCATCCTAGCGAGTATATAATGGCGGAGGCGTCTCTTTTCTCTTTTTCGAAGAACCTGAGTGTCATATCAGAAAGCCACTTCTTCCTACCATAATGCATGGACTTCATAGACCATTCAAACTGCGTGCTCGTCCTAACTGATGGCATAATTACTAAACATTCTTATATGCGGGACTATGTATAAAGTGAATCCACGCGAAAAAGTGGACATATGCGGGTTAGTCATCATGAGTACGAATTGCGTTTGATTGCTCCAGATGCTTCATGGGCTGTTGCAATTCCGCATATCGCAAAACAGCGACCATCCATTAATCTGCCTGGTAAGTGCCTTTCTGCAGTATTGCTGGGCGGAGTTATCGGTATTGAATACTGAGAGACAGACACTGACCTTCATCGTCCAGGTATTTCCGCCTCTATGCGACCGTCCCGCGCCATTGACTGATCATCTCCAGGTGCAAGAGTAAACCCGCAGCAGCCATGGGCCCCCCGAAACCTCCCGTCCCTCATGTCGCTCCGATCTACCGAGTAACGGCCACAGCTCTTGGTGCGGGCATGTGGTTCTGGGTGAGTCCAATGCCTCTAACGATTTAACCCAGGCGGGGGAATCGACCATGGAAAAAGAACGCTGTATACTGACAACCATATTTAGTTGATGTATCGGGCAAAGAAAGATGGTAAAGCACCCAATTCGCATACGCATTTCTCCATGATCGGCTCTAACGTATTTGACCTCTCACAGGCCCCGTTTTGCTTGGCTGGAAGCACCCCTGGGATCACTAGACAACTCGATCAGGTCAGGATTCGAGACTAAGAACGGCATGTTACTCTACCCCTGGGATACCGGCCATAGCTTGTGATGTGGTTTATACTACGGCTCGAAGTCACATACAATAATGGTCTTTGCGGGCAAAAGGTGGATGCTGGAATAAGAATAGTACAAACTGCGCCATCTAAATACATCTACATTACGACTTGACGCATATATTGAGTAATTTTGGCTTCAGTACTTGAAGACACTCTAGAGTTCCACTACCTGGAGGGAACCGCAGCATGTAGTGAAACCAAATATCTCTATGTTCCCAATTTATGTTCTCCGATTCTGTGCCCCTATCAGAACCTGCTGTGGTGCGAGCAGTGCTGTAAAAGATTGTATTATTTCCAGCATTGAGCCAAGCCGTTTTCTCCATAGCTAATTGTGGAAATCTCTGATACCAATTCAACAGTAGGTGGTGGGTTTTTAAACCTGTTGTCTTTTACATATTATCAAGATAAAAGAGTAGATATTGTGCTATCCATACGTGGTGTGAAACAGTCACTCATTTGCACTATAAGTCGGTATTTGTCTAACTATGTGCTAAAGTCTGCGTACCAAAATGGCAGCAGTATCTCATTTACAAAATGCAAGCATGCTCTCCTTAGAGCATTCAAGTTCACAGCTGTTGAAGCAATATATCCCATTGCCCGCATGTGATGTTGATTTTCTTTATACCAGGCGCAAAGGCCCATGTTTTAAAACTTTTTACCTACCAATAATGCCCCAATAACAAGCAGAAAAATTGAATTCGAAATGTGTATACTCTCACTACACGGTATCCGTCTAGTAGAGAACTCTTGTCACGATGCATGCTGGTGTGTCCTGTTAGATATCGTATCATTGCGATAGAATGGGCTTTGAAACTCACAGCTCAGACCCTCCAGGCTCTCATAGATATCCTTGATCTCCTCATATTTCACGTTGCTGATATCGGCCATCAGATATGCCAGCTGTAATTCAGTTAGTACTGCTTGATATCTAACAGGCAAATTGGAAATCCTTACATCTCCCCTGCTGTCGCTGATCTGCTTATCGACATTGTGGTCGCCGAGAATCTCGTTGACTAAAAATCGTCAGCCTGGTGCACGTTGAAGATTCGGATGTTTCAGTCAAACCTTTGCGGAGCACGCCGGGAACATTGCGATGGATGTAGATGACCTGTAAGTAATGTTAGAGCAGTAAGTCACGAAGAACAGGGAGCAACTCACTCGGGCGTGGTCTGGCTCGTCCAATGTAAGGGATCTCAGCTGAGCCTCGGGAAGGTTGACACTTCCCAGAGTGATGCCCTGGTTGATGTAGCGGACCAATGCCTCAGCAACTGGATACCAGTCAGTATTTTCCGACAAAATAAAACCATCCGCCTGTGCGACTTGTGGACTAACCCTCGACACCAATGGCACGCTGTGCCTCTTCTGTGCTTCCACCGATATGGGGGGTGAGAATGAGGTTGCTCAAGCTGCGGAGGTCCTCAGCCCATTGGTTCAAGTTGTTTGTGAAATAATCGCCGTTGCCGGCCGGCTCGTTGGGGTAAACATCAAGAGCAGCACCCGCGATGTGCCCTGAGCGCATGGCCTTGACCAAGGCAGGGATATCGACAACGGTTCCACGGCTGGCGTTGATGAGATAAGATCCCAGCTTCATGCGGTCCAACTGAGCGGTCGAAATCAAATTTCTTGTTTCAGGGAGATCCGGTACGTGGAGAGTTACGAAGTCGGCCTCCTCCAAGAGGCTGTCCAATGAAGGCACCTGGCGAGCGGTTCCCAGTGCCATCAGAGTCACTACGTCATAGTAGATGACATTCATTCCCATAGCCTCCGCAAGAACGGACAGTTGAGAGCCGATGTGTCCATAGCCGACAATTCCTGGCAATTGATTGTTAGAGCACGGCTGTTAGACTAATGCAGCCCTCCAGCATTGACCACGTCTATGTCAAAGGGCTAATAGGAACTTGATGGAGCATACCTAGAGTCTTTCCACGAATCTCCCAGCACTTTGCGCTGACTTTGTTCCAGGTGCCGCGGTGCATTTCGATGGATCGATCGCCGAGCTGTCGGGCCAGGGTGATGATTTCGGCAATGACTAGTTCCGCAACACTGCGAGAGTTTGCGAATGGAGAGTTGAAGACGGCAATACCACGGCGAGCAGCATAATTGAGGTCGACCTGGTTGGTTCCGATACAGAAGCATCCGATGACGAGCAGGTTCTTGGCCTCGCTCAAAACCTTCTCGCTCAACTTTGTCTTGGAGCGGATACCGATAACATGGACCTCGCTAGCATTTGTCAAGGTCAGAGACGGTCAATTACAGTCAAGGATAGCTGCTCACCGGATTTTCTCAATGAGCTGATCCTCGGGAAGTGAAGTCTTCAGAGCTTCGACCTGATAGCCCTGGCCCGTGAGAATGTCCCGTCCGGTCTGGTTGACATTCTCCAACAACAGGATCTTGATGTCTTGGGTGTTGAAGGGCTTCAGAATCTTCGGTACACTCTTGCGAGGCAGCATCCCACCAAGGCTGGCTGGAGGTGACTGGAAGGTGGCAATGGGCGAAGTTGAGAGGTTCTGGCCCCAGCTAGAGACGACAGTTCTCTGGGGGATTGGGGCGCTGGGGGTGATGTCGCGAGCAGAAGACATGGTTGCGGCGGTGCAATCGTGCAGATTGCTGGATAGGTAACCTGGGATGTCGTCCTGGAAATGGAGATGGGGAGGGTTGGTCTGGCGTTGATGGCACCAGGCGGCGAGAGCTGGAGGGATGAAGAGATGAAGAGACTCGGGAGAGATCAAATGATTTCGATGTCACAGAGGCGAGGCGAATCGTAAGATCTTAAAGCGAATTGAATCCCAGGGTCTCGCAGACACGCAACATGACTCACTATCTACCTTGGGCGTAGCACTGGGAAGTCTGGAATCGGACAGATAATTTTGACTTTGACAAGAGCCGACACCGGCTTGCGGCCAATTGCGGCCACTTGCTGCCATGAGCGATGACTGGCACCTCTTAGTACGAGTCCTAGAATACCGACTACTGGAGCACTACCGCAAACTCGCGCAAATCCCTAGATGCACCAGACAAGGCCAGGCCAAAATCACCATCCAGTGGCATCCAGTGGGACAATTCGACGGAATGGCATTGGATCCAACAACCCCACCTCGACCGGTGCAAATGCTGCCACTTTTCCACTAGTGCGGGAGAGAGCGATTAGGTGGTATTGGCTTGTGATAGGACGCGGAGAGCGAATTTGTCAGGCTTTTATTTTTTGTTTTTTATTTTTATTTTTCCTTTTTTCCTTTCGCAATCTATTATTGTAATGGGATTCGTGGATATCAATCTCGACATACAGTATGGAGTTATTAAGACACCTTTACGGCGCTAAGCAGATGCACACCACCTGTGCTATGACGTCTACCCGCTTACCTGCTGAATCCTGTAAGCAGGCAGATTGGCTTACCCACCTCTTGTAATTTACAGGCGGTTCAGCCTCCTGTTGGCACTGCTTGTACTCAGTACTGGCACTGTGATCGTCGCCCGCCTCTACTAGTGGCCTCTGCTAGTAATGTGCACTCGGTTGATGGGGACATTGAGAATTATTCGTCTTCCATTGCTTAATCATAACGCATCTCGGCATGTTCTCACCTCTGCGCTCGCGGCTGGTAAACGCTGCCCGGCTGGGCACGTGTCGTAATCTGCGACTGGTTTCTACCACAGCGTATCCTCAGCCTGTCTCTCCATTAGCCTTTGATCTTCATGCGCCTGCGAGCTCCAAGGCCGATGAAAAAACAGCGCCTATAATCTTTATGCATGGCCTTTTCGGATCCAAGAAGAACAACAGAGCAATCAGCAAGTAAGCGGCATTGAATCTCGCACCGCGGCATCTCGACTTACAACTTCGGTAGAGCCCTGGCCCGGGATCTGAAAACCCACGTATATACCGTGGTAGGTGAATCTCATCGGAACCAACTGGTAACGACAGTCATGTTGAATAAAGAGTGTAAAGGATCTTAGGAATCATGGAGAATCTCCCCACGATGCCCGTCACGACTATGTTGCCATGACGGAAGACATACTGGCCTTCATTGACCACCATGGTCTAAAAGAGCCCACTTTGATAGGCCATTCCATGTATGCCTTTTCGGGACCGCTTGAAATCCTACACTCGGCTGATGTCACTATAGGGGAGCCAAGACGGCCATGTCTGTTGCCCTCCGTTCACCAGAAACAGTGTCGAGGGTTGTCGCAGTTGACAATGCCCCTACCGACGCCACACTCAGCAGAACCTTTGCTTCCTACGTTCGAGGGATGAAGAAGATTCAGGAAGCCAAAGTCACTCGCCAATCCGAGGCAGATGCTATTCTCCAAGAGTACGAAGAGGTCAGTACCACTGTTACCTCTATATGCGCTCTCCAAGACTGACTGTTCCCCGTAACAGTCGCTGCCAATCCGTCAATTCCTGTTAGGAAACCTGTATCGTTCACCAGAAGATGGGATTCAAAAGTTTCGCGTTCCCCTGGATATTCTAGGCCGATCACTCGACCATCTTGGAGACTTTCCCTACAAGAATCCAGGCGAGGCACGGTACACAAAGCCATCCCTTTTCGTCCGAGGCACTCAGAGCAAATATGTACCAGACGACGTGCTGCCCATCATTGGTCAATTTTTCCCACGCTTTCGATTGGCCGACGTTGACGCTGGTCACTGGCTAATATCGGAACAACCTGAGGCTTTTAGACAAGGTAATTTAACATCCTAAAGCACGCTTGTGCGAGATTCATGTTACTGACTTGTGCATACAACAGCCGTGGTGAGCTTTCTGCAAGAGCCATGAAACGCAATGGAAACGTAGCCTGGACCATTCATCCAATAGAGAACCTATAGAAGAAGACTTGGACATTATAGAGCACTTCACAGCAATATTTGACAATCTAACCATGTTAACAACCGTCGCCTCTGTTTGTGGCCTTTGTCAATGAGCACTTTACCATAGATACCTAGACTTCAACATTGTACTCTTCAAACATGTTCGATGTTATTCTGCCGCCCCCCTTCGAGCACAATATTCGTGATAATTGGGGGTTTAAATGAAACAAAAGTGTTCAATTCCTTGTTTGCCCAACAAATCCTCCACATGTACTCATAACCATCCGTGCCAACACACACACTGTATACAAAAGTACATGCCACCCGGCTTGGCACCAAGCGTCTTAGTTGGTACCACCTCACCTACTCTACATCATACCCCCCCTGCTTCTGCTTTGAATCACCCAGCCTTAAGTTCCCTAGCTCAGCCCGTTGTCACTACGCTTCCCTTGCTTGAAACTCCATGCTGCGTTTGCTCATTGCAAGGTACGACGCACAAACCCGGTACCTCGAGAAGCAGCGTTAGACTGGGAGGTAAGTCGTTACCGCTGTTGCAGCTGCTGGCCCCGTGCACATCAGCGCAGCCCAGCCCCCGATGCCTGCAGGCGTCCTCAGCCATGATGTGAACGACCTTGTTGCTCGTCCGCGGTCTTCCCTCCTTGAAGCTCGCATTCGCCATTAAACCCGCCGACCATCCTCGGGCATGTTGCCCTTAGTACAGACGCACCCTCGCGTGGTGCCAATCAGTTTCGACGCCTTTGGACCATCCACGGGCCACGGCGCCAGGCCCGAGTCTGAGAGACGAGCCATCGCGTCGCCCTACTACCGCTCCTCGCAGCCATACCATGGCTCAGCCACTTCTTCCGCCCAGGGCTCGCGAGACTACGACTATCACCTGCGCCGCAAGACTCCTCGGGGCACCATCGATGCGGGATACGATGGATCGCCGACGCAGCTGTCGCCTGGCCCGCCGCCACTCAAGCAAGTGATCCTTCCGACGCCCTCAGGCATATACCCGTATCTGCCTCCGAATAACTTGCCCTTCCACGCCAAGTCCCGTCTCTTGGAGCATGATCAGGGAAGTCTGGGGCAGGCTCCTCTGACTTCGCCGTGGACTTTTAGCAATGAGAGGCCCAACTTTGTTCTTTCTAGCGGCTCCTCAATGCCCCTCCAGCCTGGCCTCTCCTGGCAGCCAAATGGATATCCCATGTTCAACCAGATTCCAGATGTCTATCAACCGCTCATGAGGGCGGCAGAGTACAATGTGCGCGCCTTCTGTCCGCCCCCGGGCTCGACGACTGATACCGCGACGTTTGGCCAGTTTGGTTGGCAGCTAGGGGCCTCGCAGCGAAGCTATGGCTATCTCGATATGTCTCGGCACTTTGATCAAATGAGTTTACCACCCGGCCTCCCTGGGAGCTTTTTGCACCACGGTTCAGATGCTCAACTGCCTTACAGACCGACAACGGACTTGAACGTCAACTTCAACATTCCACAGCCCCCACAACCAATGCTCCAAGGGAGTTACCTGGGCCAGAGCGCAGTCGTAGAGAACCCCCCCACCAGCGAACAATATGCTGTTCAGTCGAGTTTCACGGAAAAGGCCTATTCACAGGCTCAGGAACATTATGTTGAACTGCTGGCCTACCTGCAAACTGCCAAGAGATTTGATCAGATGAGCGGTGGCGGCAGTTCCAATTCAAGGTTTAAGATCCTGGTATTTCCAAGACCCCCAAAGGCCAGAAGAGAGCATCTTGGCACCATGCGGGATGTGTATCGTAGTGTTGAGCGACCTGTTCCATCGAAGCTCGTGCCGAACAGCCACCCCCGGGCCCTTACATCCAACATTGAGGATACCTTGAGCAATAACACAAGACCGCAGGTCGTGCAAGATGCCCATGTGGAAGGTCGCCGGTCCAGCAGGTCGGCATCGCGGTTCCACGTTTCGCCTGCTGCGTATACCTCGTCATCATCATTCGGGACACTCGGTCCTGCTGCCATGGCGAAAGCGCTGCCCATTCTGAATGCAAAAACTTCGTTGGATATTTTGAAAAATCTGTGTGAACAAAGTAATTGGAAATGGATTGACGGAATTTTACTCGGTGGGTGTCTTTTATATGGCCTCTCACGGTTCGAAGATGCCGCGGAATGGTTCTCCAGAGTTCTTGCTCTAGATTCAAGGTTCGACCTGTTCCAGATGAACTATCAAGTGGTTGTTCTATATCTGACTCAGATTATAGCCATGTTGAGGCTATCACAAACATAGCCGCAACACTCTATTGCCTTAACCGACAAGAGGAAGCTGAGCGGCATTGGCTAAACGCTATTAAGCTATGCCCTGCTCACTTAGAAGCTACGGAACAGCTCGTTGGATTGCTGTACAAAAAACGTAGCCGAGAGGCCATCGACATCATCTGCTTTGTGCAACAAGCGTTGAAATTACCAAAGGGAAATTCAACTCGGTCTACCTACCCCCCACTCGGTGTTCGCTCCGTGCCATCTGATGAACATTCTCTCGGTCAACAATCAACTGCTGCGCAATATGGTTTCCAGCCCGAAACTACCCTAACCGTGGGAGGCTCTGAATTCGGGTCTAGCGGGTACGCGCTCCCTAATAGCGAGAATGGAAGGATTCTAGCCTTGGTTCATGCCAAAGGCACAATACTATATGGCTTGAAGGACATTGAAAGAGCTTCAGAGGCATTTGAAGAAGCCGTCCTGATCAGTGTCGGGGAGCGCATACTGAGCGTTCAGGAGCTGGTAAACCGGATCCATGCTGTACTGTCACCACCGGCTGGCAATGATCAAAGACCAGTTTCTCGACGACCCCTTTTGCTTCCGCCGGAAAAGGCTCGCCAAACTGCTCATCTCGTGTTTGCTGCGGGCGGTGGAGGCAGCGAACTGCCTGGGCTAGCATTCGTTCCTGAAGGTGCCGCCAGGCGAGTCGCTGTGCAGACAACGAGCAATGCTCTCCTCTCTCTGGCCAAGATATTTCAGGATGCCATGTCTGGAGGGAGCATTGTTCCCAGCCTGCTCAGACAACCCTCAGGGATCGGCGACATCCTGGCGTTGTATTATCTATCTCTTTCTCTCCAAGAAAGCCCCTCTACCGCGAACAATATCGGGATCCTCCTTGCAGGTGTGCCGCAGCAAATGGCTCACAACAATACTAGTACACCAACAACAGCCACCTCCCGGCCTAGCTTGCCTGGCGTCGTGCCGGGCAGTGGTCTTGCCCTCGCTTTGGCGTATTACAACTACGGACTTCGTCTTGATCCAAGACATGTTCACCTGCACACCAATCTGGGTAGCCTCCTGAAAGATGTTGGACAGTTGGACCTCGCAATCCAGATGTACGAGCGAGCGGTTTCATGCGATAGAACGTTTGATATCGCCTTGACCAACCTAGCCAATGCTGTGAAAGACAAGGGTCGCATAAAGGACGCCATTGCTTACTACAGACGAGCGGTGGAAGCCAATCCAGGATTCGCCGAAGCCGTCTGCGGACTCTTAACAGCCCTCAACTCTGTATGCGATTGGCGTGGAAGAGGTGGAGCGCTTCTCGAATTGGGCAAATATGACCGATGGCACGTCGATGACAAAGGCACCCTGGTTGATGTGCAGGCGGCTATGCATGGGAGCGGCCTCACACAAAGAGTGATCAGTATCATAAATCACCAGCTAGGCGATGCATCGCATTGGGGCCGCAACATACTACAACACCCGACTATCCATGCGTTGGCGCAACAGCTGGGTGACTTCTGCCGTACTCCTGGATTCAGCTTGGAGTTGGCAATAAGTGCTTGGGCTGGTGAACCATGGGAAGGCTCGCGCCTGGTACGCCTCGTGGAACGGGCTGCAAGAGTCATTCTATGGAATTGGTATCATGACAAGTACGTTGCCAAGAGGGAGGTTACCCCTTCACGCTATCTCCGACCTCAGTTGCCTTCCTCTCTCACCATTCCATCTGCGCCAACTGTACTTCCTTTCCACACTTTCACGTATCCTCTATCTGCCAGGGATATTCGATCGATCTCTCAGCGCAACGCAATGCGAATATCATGCACGACTCTTCGAGCCCCTTGGCTGTCAGCTACTGTGTATCCACCACCACCTCCGCCAAATCCACATCTGAATGTTGGATATGTGTCGTCAGACTTTAATAACCATCCGCTGGCTCATCTGTGAGAAGCATCCCCCTTTCCCATGTAATTCTAACGTGTGGTGGAGCAAAAACTAACAGGCTTGTTGCCCAACGCAGAATGCAATCAGTGTTTGGATTTCACAATCCTCGGCGTGCTCGGGCTTTCTGCTATGCCACCACCCCCAGTGACAGATCTGTCCATCGACAGCAAATTGAAAGAGAGGCGCCTGTTTTTCGTGATGTCAGTTCTTGGCCAGCGGATAAGCTTATCGAACAGATCATTCGCGATGAGATCCACATCTTGGTGAATCTCAATGGCTATACGAGGGGTGCTCGCAATGAAATATTTGCTGCCCGCCCGGCCCCAATCCAAATGTCTTTTATGGGATTCGCGGGAACGCTTGGTGCCGAGTGGTGCGATTACATACTCGCAGACACAACTGCTATCCCGCCGAGCACTTTGCGCCCCTGGAGGATGAATACCAGCATCGATGACGTATTTCGCGACCGGACTGAGGGCGATGAACTCCAGTGGATGTACTCGGAGAACATCATTTTCTGCCGAGACACCTTTTTCTGCTGCGACCATGCACAGTCGTGTGATACTGTTGAACGGGGCATGACCTGGGAGGACGAAGAGAAACGACGGTGGAAGATGCGTAAGGAGCTGTTCCCGACAATAGCAGACGATGTCATCATATTAGCCAACTTCAATCAACTTTACAAGGCAAGTGAAGGGTGCAGAGAGATCTTGTATCAGTCTTGTTCTAACCTGATGATAGATTGATCCTACTACTTTCCGGTCTTGGTTACGGATCTTGGCCCGGACTCCCAAGGCTGTTCTCTGGCTGCTACGGTTCCCTGAACTAGGAGAGACCAACCTGCGGCAAACGGCTGAAACCTGGGCCGGGGCAGAAGTTGCTAGTCGGCTCATCTTTACTGATGTAGCACCAAAGAATCAGCATATAACTAGGGCTAGAGTGTGCGACATGTTTCTCGATACTGCAGAATGCAACGCTCATACCACTGCCGCCGATGTCTTGTGGTCAAGCACACCCCTTCTAACCTTGCCTCGATACTCGTACAAGATGTGTTCCCGAATGGCGGCATCCATCTTGCGAGGAGCACTCCCCAAGACAGCAGAGGGCCGACAAGCAGCACTGGAATTGATTGCAGATAGCGAAACGGAATATGAAGATTCGGCCACAGAGTTGGCCGGAGGGTTAACCTATGAGATAACAGAGGAAGGATATGGCCGGGGCAAGGGGCGTCTGGCAGAATTACGGAAACTGCTGTGGGACAGCAAATGGAAATGCGGACTCTTCAACACTCGCCGGTGGGTAAACGACTTGGAAATGGCTTACGAGGAGGCATGGCGGCGGTGGGTCGCGGGTAAGAGCGGCGACATATATCTATGAATGTTCTCTCTAGATGGCGCTATTCGTTGTGTTTATTTATGGGATACATGGAATTTCTGGCGTTGCATGAAAGGAGAAACGCAAGTACTCCCAATGCCATGGGGCTTGACGTGTATCTAGCTAGCGGGCTAGTGGATGCTACGGACAGCATTGATACCTTTTTTTAATGGACTTTTTGAATTCTGCCTATAGATGGCATTGTTACTACTACTTGATTGACTCTTATTTGCTTGGTGAAGATGGTGACAGTGGAACGCAGGAGTTGATGCTCTTGAGCAGTATGATGCAATATTTAGGGCGAAGGATCATTCAAATTGCATTGTGATTCTTGTCTTCTGTCTGTCTAGATTATCTGCCCCTATTCCCGGGTAACCTCTTCTTTGCTCGACGTAATCGCCAATAGATTTGGAGAATTACCTGAGAGTGCTCTCGGATAGACAATAGACAAAGCTATGGCCAGCATCGGATAACCTTGTCGTCTTTGATGCAGTGATTAACTCAAGTCCTTGATGGGACAAAAGGGATGTGCGCAAATGTATTCCTCTTGAGTGTGAGAGAGAAAAGGTTGATGACGGAATCCTCATTGCAGAGCTGTTTCTTCAGCATCAGCCGTGACACTCGTGATCGGGCGTTCCTCACATGGTGCGCTGCCATCCTCATCTGGCTCGAGTTTTTCAGTGTCTACTGCAAAGAGCATTTGGGGTAATGTCAAATGTGATAAGCGTTGGCCGTGTCTGTGTTCTCCACGGCCAACTCTGCCTTTTCGTGATGGCTCCAGAAGGTTGTTCTCCGAACGATGTCTCCAGAGCTGCCTTTTTGTGTTCAAGCGGGCTGCCAAATCGACGGTGTCGCTAGACGAAGCTGTAACCAAGCGGAGGAGAGATTAGTCTCTAGACAGGGAAACATGCGATAGCTGGGATTGAACCATGACTTACACGTTCTCCTGCCTTGACCAACCTTACCCTGAAGGCAAGGAGACTCAAGATCATATTCGCCAACGCGAGATTCCACCGAATCCACCATCTCAAACCCGTTTGCCTCTACCTCATGCCCACCTCTCCGGATGAGACTGCCAGATCGAGCCAGTGCCACCGCTTCAACGCCTTTCCTAGAAACCTTTTGAATGATGAGCTCCAGCCGCTTGATCTCAGCCTTGTATCGCGCCTCTTGGGCTGCCCAGTCGGAAACAAGAGCTTTGCTCCGCTCCTTGTCCTCTTGCCGCGTTGCTTCCAGCTGGACGACTTCTTTCTCCTTCTTGGACAGCTTTGCCCGGACTTTGCTGTAGCCCTCGATGAGATGGAGCACATACGACGTATACTGGGGCCCCAGCGTCGGCGGCGTCGAAGATACCATGATGGTGGTTCGCAACACATCGGCCATTTCGTCCACAGAAGGCGCGTTCTGGAGTCTATCAGCCTCCTTCATAAGGATATCGTTTCCAGATTCCGCAGATGAGTGGTAGAATCCAGCCAAGGGGCGTGGAGCAATTCTTAGATGGTTCGCTTCAAAGGTGTCTTCGATTGCGGCTGGATCGTAGGGAGTCAAGGGGGAAACTGGAGTGTGGCATCGCTGGCCTGGAAGAAGCCGCATCCAGCCAGAGTCTGCCATTTTGGACTAGGATATTGTAAACACCATCTGTTGTGATTTGCTGGAGCTTGTGTGATGAGTGAAAGAGAAAAGTTGAAGAATGGTGGGAAAGGAGTTGTTTTATAGCTGGGCGGTCAGGTGTAGCAGCTTTCTGCCAGCTGTGAGGTGAATAAGGGAGGAAAGGCGTTATTACAGCGCTTGAGAAGAGGTCAAAGTGGTGAGCAAGTTACTTGTCTATGCATTTTTATTACTTCGTAACCTCTGCCTATCTTTGTATTCATCTACATAAGCATCTTTTGGTATGTATTTTTCTGAACTGTTGCCGAGGCATAAAACATCTCTATATAGAGAACTCTAGAATGTATAGTGAATATGAGCCGTTCTACTTATTTCTCTAAGAAACGGCATTTTGTCCCCTCAGAATTTATGGCATCCGAGTTAAAACCTCAAACTCGAAACTAGAATCAATTCATATCTTTGCATCTGTTGCCGCATTGAGCTAGAATGAATCCTTTGGATGCTATATCATCGCTGTATTACCCCTTATTGTCAGCGTCGCAGATATCTCATGGTCATTCAAGCCTTGGCACCTCATTCACTGTTGGGAGGGGCCGACGGAAGCGCAAATAGTGGTTTTCTCGGGCCAGGTAGCGGTATCGAGGCGCAGTCATCCTCTCGTTTCCAGGTGATTCATAGGAACTTGTGAATACGTCTTCTTCCATGACTGGTGGGAGAAGCAGCAGCGTGGCTGAGTGGGTATATGAATTCGATCGCCTCTTGAATGACTTTGTCGGGAATGTGACTACTTTATTACTGAGCAAAGGTAGGCTGTTGTGTGCCTCCAAGATCTGTGATTCCTCTTTTGGGTCGACACTGTCCAATCCTGCGTGGCAAGCCGTTGATCCATCCTCCAGTTCAGAGTAGTCAGTGGCTTCGTGCCGACTTCTCTCAAATCTCTCCCAGAGTCTCGCATTGTACAGTAGGGAGTTGTCGTTGTCAGTGACGAGATTGAGATCACACAGATACGTCCAAGCACGATAGTGGAAACAAAATGTCGCAAATGGTGCCTCCGTTGCGTCCTGCAAAATCCATTCGTAGTAAATTGCATCTTCAGGATGCTCAAGGAGTCCAGTTGAAGGTGATCTAATGATGCTATATGTTAGCTGGAGCATATCCCGTAGCATTGCCTTGAACGATATTCTTCTTTCCCTCCCTACTCATCTCTTTCCATACACTCTCAGGGGTTAACTTACATTATCCCATAGCGTTCTTGATCTCGGTGTACAGCCAATTGTGGCGTGCTTCTCCGACGGCTTTTTGCTCGAAAGACTTGAACTTCGATCAGACCCCCGTCATCGGCTGCAGCAATGGCATCAGGGCCAGGGGAGAAACAAAAGGACCTCGATTCAATCCCGCTTCGCTTGAGCAGCATTCCATCTTGCTTCAAGTGCCATCTGTCACTTGGCTCGAAGAGGGCCCGTGTGATTGTGCCTGATGCCGCACCCGGCTTAATCCCACAACTCGTAATGTTTCGGCCGTTCATAAACAACTTAAAGAAGAGGTAACATGAGGGCTCCGGATGGCGATGAATGGAATATTGCACCCAGAATTGTGAGCCAGGTGCAGAAGGGACATAGACGGAGGCTTTTGGTGCCGTCTTTTGGATTCGAGGAGAGTCCAAACCGGGAGAAGTCACATCGTTTTCTTGGACCCTCTGAGAGGCTTCAACAACAGATGCAACGTGAACTGAAGAAGCATCAGGATGTGGAAATTCTGGTAGCAGCACCGAGTCTGGTTGAATAACGAGAGACAGTTCGATGCCTCGCAAACAGGGCATGATTGCTTCAAGGGAGAGCGAATGTCTTCCCTGGTGATGGCATAGGAGAGAAAGAACTGGGGTTTGGTGAGAAGAGGAAAACAAGGGCCTGCAGACTTGTTTGTTATAGGTCCATAAGAATTGGTACATTGAAGGCTACAGGGCGAAGAACTTTCAGGGAGCACGTCAATTAGTGAACAAACGCCCTGATAGGGGCTAATCATTCGCTACAAAGCCACTTCGACAGCTGGAGCTGCAATGCAAATGGCAGACGCGGCACAAGTGCACGGTTTAACCAACTGTTGTCTGCCAAGTGCACTGTTACAGTAAAATGTTAAGACGTATAAGTTGGTCTGCCACCTCAGCAAACGATATATGTAACCGGAGGCAGCCGTGAGTTGGGAAACTCCCGATTTGTTCACACATCTTCCAGATTGACCCAAGTGTCACACAATTGCCCGCATTCTTGATGGGTGAAAATGTATGTCGAATTCGTACAGACTTGCAGCCTCCAAGCTGACAGAATGAGCCGCCAATTCACAATCAACATCCGAAGAGGCTCTCCAATTCCGCCTGGTTCTCCTATATTGAACTTGCTGCGCTATCTATGCGCGCCAAGGGGATGTAGTCACGCAGAAGAAATCGAACCCCGCCACGTCTATTGCCTCAATTTCCCTGTCCAAGCACCGCTTTTGTGTCCTCCGTCTTCCCTAGCAGCCCCAGATTCCGGATCTGGCTCGCACTCGGCGCATCGTCTCGTGCGGTTGCTGATTGAGCTCGGGCATATGCGGCTTGTAAAGCCAGCGCTCTCGCATGCTATTCGTCGTCAGCCGCGTCTACTTCGTCCAGCACTTGAGCTCCCGAAACAGACCTCCTTCTTGTGGTGTAGGCACTCGTAGTAATCCTCTAGGACGGGCGAGCACTTCTTCTTGCCTGAGTCGTCTGCGGCGGATGTGTTGACGACATAGCAGGCCATGACCTCCTGCCAGAAAGGAAAGCAACGGCCGACGCCTGAAATGCAGTCAGTCAATGTCCAAAGAGATGCCATTGAATAGAAGCACATACCGCCATGCATGCCATATCCTGAACTCATGATGTGCCGAGTGGTTGTTTGTTGCGACGCCTAGGTTCACCTTTTCCTTCAACCAATGATGGCTGTCAAGGTTCGGTACATCGGGATTATTGCTCGTTTTCGTCTGAGCACTAACAGTAGTACCTTTTAACTGCGTACTAATCATATGGCGACTAAAGTATCCATAGATAGAACAGTCGCCCCGATATTTACATAGCCCCGTTATGTAGCTGGGAATGCCCCCCATTGGCGATTCGGGACAGTTAAGCCCGGATAATTCAATAACCTTCTTTAATGACAGCATCAAGAATGTTGGCAGGTGATAGCTAACAGACCATAGCTATTTTCGTTATTGGTGCGCGATCAAATTGTTTTCCAGGAGATTTTCTCAATTTCAACATACCGGCCCAAGGCCTGGATTACCACAGCCAAACTGCGGGGGAAAAAAAACCATCCAATATGAGCTCCTCGCTCTCACCCGGAAAGGTGTTACTTCTTGCCGCCCACTATGCAACACACGGCGATATTGAGAGCTTGGCCCGCCTGTCCAGTCAGCGAGCCAAAGTGCTGCATAAAGAGCTACTGTTGAGGATTATTCTTACTTACTTGCCTGAAACTGTGAAGCCTTCTGTCTATGTTGGCTTCTTACTCGCACTCGCTGGAGATCATCTTGAGGAGTACAATGAGGGCGAATTGGACACAACTCCTGTTGACGACTTGTCCGAAGATGAAGCTTCCAAGAAGGCAAGAAAGCTACACCTGCAGCAACTTACGTCTGCCGATGCTCCAGTCAGCTTCCAAGACGATCCGATAACCAAATTCCTTATCCAGAGGTCATATAAGATGGATAGCGAAACTGGCCTTCTCTCACAAGTTCCAAGTTTACTGGCCATATTTCAATCCCGTTCACCGGAACTATCATCCTGGGTTACGTCGACAGTGCTTCCGTATGTAAGGAGAAACGTGGAGTATTATAGAGATGAGATTCCTCCACACTCTCTTCTCGACTTTCAAAAGCTCTCGGATCCAGCCGCCATGCTGTATTTACTGTCACGGACTGGAAGTCGCGAGGAGGATATAGCCTTCATCGGCCGTGATATTAGAGGCTTGGTTGGGCCATGGCTCCAAGGGAAGTCCCGGTGGACGACCAAACTCACCAGTGGCGAGCATACCGCCAAGGACGCGGGACCGCCATTGTCTGCTGGGTGGGAGCAATTTCTCGAATGGCTTGTGAGCCAAGCAACTTCTTCGTGGCCCGTCGTCGTCGCCTTAACCGAGCAATGGGGAGGGCCCGCGGACCTGGATCTAGGGGAGGCGGCCGGCTTGGAATTCACAGAGTCTCAGCAACAGTATTTACTACGCAGCTATGCACGAGCGATACTTGCGTCAGCATACCTAGTATCTGAAGCCACGGTCGGAGCACTTCCAGGCGCCTATCAGATGGCAATCAAGATGAGACGGATGCTAGGCTATAGTGAGGTTCCTCCCACACTGGAGATGGCCATCTCTGTACTACCCAGCCTGTCGGGGTTTGATGTGTCCTCACTCATTGGCATGAAGACTGCGACATATATGAGGAACGATCTACTTGAAGAAAAGAATCCATTAACTTCTCCTACAGAGGGAGCAATGACTTTGTTAATAGCATTGATACTGAGTGCCTTTATCTGTACCAGCTTGGGTGTACCTTGCTCTGTTAGAAAAGCCGGAGACTTGGCCTTTATTCAGGATCTTCGTGAGCAAAAAGGAGAAATCGCCAAGCTTATTCGGAGCGCGTCCACGCAAGTACAGGGAGACGAAGATAGGCATTGGTCACAAGTAAGGGATCGGTTGCTATGGTTGAACAATTGGGGTTCTGATGAGGATCGGCCTGGCAATTCTGAAGCTATAAGAGGCATTATCGGAAACGTTCCCAAGGATTTCATCGAAATGGAGATTCTAAAAGCTCTTCTCTCCAACTCACGTACGGCATGGCCTTTTATTCGACCATTTTTACTTTAACTAATCTGTGTTTTACAGGCTATACCCTTGCTAAAAGCATCTACGAAGACAGTCCGGAGAAGCCTCTTGCCGCGGAAATCATACAGGACACAGTATACCAAGCAGCCTTGCGTGCTTTTGATAATGCTTCCAACCCCAATCGGTCAAGAGGAGGGTTGAAGAAGTGTGATGAGATGTAAGAATGTGACCTTGTGCAGTTAACACCCCCGAAGGAACCATTACTGACATCATCTCAAGCATTCACTCATTTCCAAAAACATTAACCAATACACACCCAGCTACCAAACGGGTGGAGGCCCTATTACGATGCACGCATGCCTTGAGTGAGTACCGACTTACGCTTAAGCAGGGCGAGCCGTTTAAGCCTGTAGTCCTTCGAGTTCACTCCGATCCAGTATCGATAATCGACAAGGTTCTGGAGCAAAACCCAAAGGCATACACCCGTCTCCCTGAGTTCTTGGAGATGGCAGCGAATATGGTGCGCGCCGGCATCACACAACAAGCCCGCTCCATCAAGTTTGACTCAACGACGGGAGACAACAGCAAGGAGCTTAGCCGGGCAGAGAAATTCATTACGGCCCAGTGTATAGAAGCTGCGCTGAGGGAAGACGATTTCGAGACAGCATACTCTTATGTGGTTAGTCGTCTGGAAACAACCGCCCCCCACGGAACCCAAGCGCCCGCAAACGAAGAAGACGAATGGTCCTGGAAGGCTGCCCTGAAAGCCGGGCAGTACATTCGCACCGAGCGCACCCTGCTGCCAACACACCTTGGCATCGCAAGCGGCAATCCCGAGATCCGCCACCTGGAACAGCGCATCGAGTGCCTGGCCACTGCGCTGCGTGTCGCGCCCACCTCCCAGCTCCAGGAAATCCTCAAAACGTTCCGGCGTTGCGAGGAGCAGCTGGACTCTGCCATCAGCGAGGAGGCCGCCGCTGAAGCTTCTTGGGCCGCCGCCGGAGAGGTCCCTGGCGCTTTCGAGTCGTCTACGCCTCATAATCCGCACTCGACACGGAATATGACGGCCACCGCTGCGGCCAAACAGGCGGAGGAGGCCCCAATGTCCCTGTTTGACCTATCGCGGGCAACCGCCAGCGTGGCACAGCGAAACTTCACAAGGCTGTCCAGCCTGTCGTCGCTCGCCACTTCGACACCCTCGGCGCCATCACCAACTGGAGAACAGGCGCCACAGCGGCTACGGAAGAGGGACCAGCTGAGAGAGGCCGCCACTGGCACGCTCGTCTCTGGAGTAGGCTGGCTGATTGGGGCAAGCGTTAATCGAGAACAAACAGAGTCTTGATTTTTTGATGATTGATGTACGATATTCTACAACTAGCTCACTAGTAGGCTATTCTTAATTTTGGGTTGAACTATGGATGGGAGTTGTCTTAAAAAAAAGACAGTGGGATATGGGGTACAATCGTGTCAGACAGTTAGACCTCAAACTACAGCGCATTCGAGCAAGTCTCGCTTTGACTTGTCCAGTACCTGTGCCATGATAATATACATGATACATGGCGTTACGACCTGCTAGCTTCTGCCAAATAGAGTATACCTCGTGATCTTGACAGACTGAAGCGGATGACGAGCACTCAAGAGTGTGCATATCAGACTGTTATGATCTGTATGCTGGACATTCAATGTTGGGCTTCGCCAGAGCTGAAGTTGGTAGGAAGCATTTGGCCCCCATGCGAGTACGCCATATCATTCCTATACTCAAATTAGTATATCAACTAGTATGGTAAAGGTCGCAGAAAGCAGTCAGAGAAAAGAAAATTGAGCAGTCGTTGCAAAGTCGTCAAGATGCCCTCGCACCTCCAGTATGGCCAGTTGATGTGAAGTGATGTATCTGGTTCTGAACTAAGACGCAGCAGAGAAGGGCGAAAGCATGTATCTGATCGAGAGGAGCATCTAGCCAAGCCCAAGACTGGCAGAAGCTCCGAAATCTGATTTTAGAGAAGTTGGCGTGCACGAAAGCCTTACTAGGTAAGAGAAAAGAGCTGGGTATGTAACTGCATTTGTTGGCGTGCGTCAATAGAGAAGAAATATTACGGCGAAATGGTTTGCTGGCTGGCGTAGGATGACAGAATTTACGTTGGCTACTGGCTTTATCAGAATGGTAGTTAGTTAGCAGTCTCAAGGCGTTAAATGCGTTCATTATCGGCTGGTATTAATCTGAATCCGAATGGTTGCCCGTCGACTCAGATTTTGGCAGAACCAAGGTATTGTTTAAGTATTGACATCTGAAGCACGACCGGATTTTAGTGGTCCATTAGGGTCACTTCGCCAGGAAAAGAAGAAAGCAGGGCGCCTGGGGGGGTTGATATTTGTTGGGCTGTTGTGAAGGTTGTTAAACGGTATCAAGATGTTGTGGCGCAACGTGACGAGTGATGGAAGTGTTTGATTCTGCAAGATCCGGAAGCTGCCCATAAACGGCCAATGCGCAACTCTGTAGCCGCAAGACCGACCAGCAAGAAAAATGTAAATATCAGCGGCGACGGCCGAAAACCCGATTTTGTTTTCCCTCCCTTAGCAGTCGCATATCGCACGAAACTCCTAATTGAGATCCTGACGAAAGAGTCCACAGCTGTCCACGGAGGTCGATTGACAAACTGCGGACGAGACAAATAAAACAAGAACAACTAGAAAATAGGAAAAAGAAAAAAGCAGCAACAGGCAGTCCATTAATGACAATGAAGTCTTGTTCGTCAGAGATCGATAAAGAGCAGTCAGAAACGACGGCATCATCAGTGCATGGCCGACTCGGGACCTGGTTCAATTTAGTGCCTAAACCCCGAAACATGGCATTCATGGGTGATTCAAACCTCCGTATGACTCACGTGCCTCAGGTCGTGAGGCAGGCTCGCCGTATGCTGGACCACTGCTGGCGGCTGGCTCTCGGGATCGGCCAGCGTCTCGGTCAGCAGTACGCTCGTATCGGTCGCGGTCATATCCGCCGCTGCTGTTGCCACCACGAGCGCCGTAGCGGTCGCCGCGGTCGCCGCGCTCTCCACGGTCTTCACGGTAGCGCTCGCGACCGTAGTTGTCATCGCCGCCGCCGCCGCCGCCGCTACCGCTACCACCACCACCACCACCACCGCGCTCGCGACGCTCGTAGTTGCGGTCGTAGTTGCGGTCGTAGGTGCGCTCAGAGTCTCTTCCTCCGTAGCCGCGCTCATCGTATCGGTCTCGGTAGTTGCGATCGTAAGCACCACCACCGCCACCGCTGCGTTCCTCATATCGTCGGTCGTATCCGCGTTCATAGTTGCGGTCATAACCTCTCTCATTGCCACGGTATCGGTAGTCATCGCGAGAATAACCACCACCGCCATAGCCGCCACGTCGGCGATCATCGAAGCGAGCGCGAGGGTCTGTCATTTCAGATGTCTGTCAGCGTGGGAACAGGAAGAGGATGCACACGGAGCGAAATGCCAACTTACCTCTCTTGGGAGGACCGAAGTACTTGCCCGGTGTGGGAGTACGAGGGCGAGCACGACGGGCCTTCTCAATGCTCATGGTACGGCCTTCAATCACTTCGCCCTGGAGGCCTTCCTTGGCAGCCTCGGCCTGTTCAGAGGTGACCATCTTGACGAATCCGAATCCGCGAGATTCCTTGGTGTGAGGGTCTCGCATGATTTGGCACTTCTCCACCTCACCATACTTCTCAAACATCTTGGAGACCTCTGCCTCGGACAGGCGAGGGTGGATGCCGGTGACGAAGAGGTTGGAGCCGGGGTTAATGGCACCATCGTCATCCTCCTTGGGAGCGGGTGCATCTTTGATGTTGCTGCACAGTATTTAGGTCAGTAAGCAGTGCGACAACGAGTCAAGGCAAGAAAGGCTTACACGTCAGGAAGGCCTGGCGGAGACATGGATCGGCGACGGCTGCCAGTGTCGTCGCGCGCAGGACGGGGAGAGGCGCTTCTGTTGTCACGCTCGTAACGAGGAGCCTCGTCTAGCGAAAAGCACATGAGTTAGCAGCGGCCCAATTCATCGAATCCACGCGGCACAAACGCGTCGAAAAGAGTCGACATGGCCTATCGCCGTCGGGACCGGGGAAACAAACCATCGTAACGGTCGCCGTTGGCGGCCTCGTAATCCATTGAAGTAGTCGCCATGGCTGCGGGGGCGATTCGAGATGGATGAAAGTGAGCAGACGACAAAACCTGGTGATTGGGTGATGGGGAGGCAGGCTGCGTTCCGCTTGAAGAAGATGAAGGAAGGGTAGAAAAAAAATCTGGTGGCACACGAAAAGATGTACTGTGACAGAGAAAGCCGATGATTAGGCGAGTTGGGCCAGAGGCGAAACAACAAAGGGCACAACCACCGCTGTGCCTGGTCGCCGGTCAATGGAATCTGGGACGAAAGAAACGAGGCTGGAGCTTCGTCTGATGGCTTGGCTTGTGCAAAGGAAGGGAAAGCTGAATCAACGAGGAAGCTCGCACGACGGGGAGCCTCGTCAAAGCCAGAGTCAGCTGTGAAGGCTACTGCGAAAGCATGGGCCAACCGTGTGGCGACTTGGTATGGAGTACTCCGTGCAGAGCGAACTAAGCCAAGTTGCCAAGGTACATGTACTTCTACGAGTCGGCTTGCTAAGCAGTACCTGACAATGGCTGAAACTCTAAAGCTAGGTTGAGTTGAGCATGCCTCATCCCCAATGCTGCCGGCAAAAAGATGATAACTGACAAGCTGCATCTGCGTGCTATAAACTGAAATTCTGAATTGACATTATTGTTCATGTTAATCCAGTGTCGAGAGTCTTGATCAGGCTGGCGATGGATATCACAGTGTAAAAAAAGCCTTAGAAAATACGTCATCCCATTGATTACCTGTATTGTGCCAGGTGTAATTGTAGCCAATGTCTGGGCGTCGTATGCTTAATAGAGTCCTTTACATGATTCGTGCCTTTTGAAGCATTGAGCTTTTCTTGCATCTCTACTATCTCTGTCAATGCCGTGTCTTTCGTCTCCCTCTTTTTCCCCTTCTTCTTCTATTTCTATGGCCCTTCAAATGCAACTGCGGCTTGTTTCCAGAATCACTGTCCAGGACAAAGCCCCCTCTCTCGGGAGCACAACTTGAGCTAAAAGACGTCCACAGGTGTATTCGTATAAAGAGAACATGGTAAAAAGGGTCAAAGAACCTGTTTCAGAACCCTGTTGTCCATTTCCGGCATGCCAATGTCTCCGTAAAACAACAAAGGTTACCAGACATCTTCAGGGTGCACCTCGTGTTTCTCGCCGTCATCTCGAACGTGCTCACCCTTTGAGTCCCTCTTCATAGATTTGCGCATGTCGAATGCATCCTCGCTGTCTTTGTCGGGATCTGTGGCATGCTCCCCATAATAGTCTTTGACAACACGAAAGACGCTGTAGCCCAGTTCTTTGTAAAACGCAATGGCCTTGGCATTGCTGCTGCGGACAAACAGATCCATGAACCAAGCATTGTGAACATCGGCGGCTGCCTCCAATTGCTCCACCAGGATTTTGCCAATACCTTGCCTTCTTGCTTCCGACGCTACAGTCAGGGCCGTAATGTGAGCATGCCAGGGAAGGTAATGTTCTGAGTATTTGTATGCATCCGGCGATGATTCAACTTTGCCCATGACTTTGAGCAGATGTATCAATTAGCAGTGCGATGCGGCGCGTTTGGAGGGGGTTTAACCAACTATATCCAACGATGTTTCCTTCCGAATCCTCGCATACTTGAAACAGGGAGGGCCATTTGGCATAATACTGAAGATAGAAGCTGAGCTCATAGGTCTCTGTTAGGGGATCCAGGTTGCATTTTGAGAATTTATTGACATCGTCAGGCCGAAATCGTCGAAAGGTGGTCATAGTCGCAGCTCGTAGCCCTGTTATCCAATGATCGCCACTTATTGAGCAAGATTCAAGTTGTATCGCTTGAAGGTTATGATTTTACACTAGCGCAGCAACAGTCATAAATGATTCATGCTTGTGGGGGGGATCCCATTATACAGGCCTGGTGGTGGAATGTTGGAGTTTACTACACTGGCAGCCGTGAGAAGATTTCGTAGGTGGTTTGGTTAAGCCCGCTTATACTGACAATGAAGTAGATATGTAGCGGTTTTACGTCTTACGGGATTAAAACTATTTGTAAAATGTTCCTTTTCTTCTTCAAAGACTAAATGATATTATGCGTCCTTTTGAGATTTTGGTACATGAACAAGTTGTCAACTCCTTTATCCGTTTCAAGGATCATCATGCTGAAAGTGGGAGGGTTTCCCCCCTCTGCGCTACGCTACAGCAGATCAAGGTGTGCGGTAAAGCGAGTCAAGAGTGAAACGCAACAAGTACCTGTAAGGTACCTACGTAGAGCTACACCGCCGCCTGTTCCTCACGCTACTAACGCTTGGTGCTCTTGTAACAGAAAGTATCGACAGACAACTGCACGCATTGGCATCTTATCGCGATAGGGAGCTGCTTACCGTATCTTTGGTTCCTGGCCGGGGGGTTCATCTCCCGCTGCTATTTGACTTGGGATTTGAACGACTCTGGTTCTCCCACCGAATGCCAGAACTTGGTGTCGAGGTTTGTGCTATAATAAGAGATACCGTACCTCACTCGCTAATAGGAAGACTGCAGATATTAATTCTGTAGTCTGCGACATACTGCCTCTATTCATCCAGAGAACTTGACCGTCAAGCTTGCGCTCAACCATTATGCCCGGGTCGCCACGAACTCCACGACACTCGCGCAACTCTTCAGCAATCGACAGCTTCGCAGGATCGCCCCAGATCCGACGTTTCTCGAGATCTTCCGCGCAAGATGCCATACCGTCGTTCCAGCACAGCCCAAATCAACATGATGGGCTTGACCTATCGGTGTTGGGCGGTGGCGGGACAGGGGCGGGCAACGGAATGGGAAATCTAGCGGATGAGTTGGCGGATGCATTTTCCGACTCAGGGGAAGAGGGCGACTACGACGCCGACCTGCAAGAGTACCAAAAATCGACGGACCAGCCAGGAGGTGATGGTGAAGCAACACGGGGCCAATCGGTAAACGACGAGACGAAGAGAACTGACGGTGATGCGGGCCTTCTCTCGCCTCGCCAACAAAAAGGCCACCAAAGAAAAACCAGTCTATATGATGGCAGCGATTACGGCTCCGATTCAGACCTCGATATCGCAGGCATACCTCCAAGTCTCATGGCGAAGATTGATGCTGTCGAAAACCTCACAATCCGCGGGACAGATAACTACGGAGGTACGGCAGACGATGTCTTGAAGCGGGTGATTCAGGAGCTCCGCGACCTAGGGTCGCAGTCTAGCGTTGAGGGCAGCGCTTCGAGGTAAGCCATGGCCAAACCCTTGGAAATGGCCATGAAGATCGCCTTTGGTGCTAACGTGAAGGTTTTTGCAGGCTTATAACAGCACACTCGGCGCTGACGACGCATCTTGCACACCAGACCCGTCAACTTCACAACCTCACCTTCCCCTTGCTCTCCCCGCTTGCGCCGGCCCCTGACGTCGAAACGATTGATACGCTTCTGCCGCTGCTCATATCCCTCACAGAAGACATGCCGCGACCATCGACGTCGGCATTCAACTCACTTACTGCGTTGCATTCCATCACATCAGAACTGATACAATCACTGAGTTATCTTTCCGACACACTACACATGTCCCGCCAGACAACGGCCGCGGCTAGTCGGAGGCTGAAGAGCGCCAAGGAGCTCGTTGCTGAAATGAGAAAAGAGGATGAGCTGAGGGAGCAGGGAGAGGAGTGGCTGACCAGGGGGAACTGGAGCGAACGGCTAGAGAAGAGAGAATGTGCAAGCGTATGTGGCGAGGTAATTGGCGGGTTTGAAGACGTCTGCAATGGCTGGAGAGAACGACTGTTGGCCCAAGCAGAGTCCCAGGCGTAAATAGATGTTACATGACTGTATGGATAGAGAGGGACAGGATAAAGATGACGGCGGCTGCACTGTTAAGCGAATGGCACCCTTTTTAAATTCATTTATATCCGAAGTTGGTTTGATAGGTAGAATCACAAAATAGGACATTGATCATGGCCTCCTCAATAGAGATTTTATACACATTAGTAGCATAATGGATCAACTCAGGCCGCAGACTCAGTGAAGGGATGTGTTCTCAGAGCCAGGATACAGTGGCTAGATAATAAAATGGATGCATCTATGCCAATCGGATGACGCCTCAATAATAAAAATTACTTTTACTACAGCCGTCTAGATCCAGCTATGCGGAAAGGAATACGATAAAGTTCGACGTTACCGTGCAGCTATCTTGACGGTAGATGCCGCACGGCAATTTTAGACTCTTTATTGGCTTTCTTAACAGTTAATTTTTCAGCCATGGAAGATGATGCTCGAGGGACTAGAAATGCCGCAGAGCAAGATTTAGTGGTTGAAGTTGAAGGTGGTCTCCAGGTCAGTCACGTCAAGGGTCTTTCAACTTGCAACCTGTTCAGGCAAAGGCAAGGTACCAGGTACGAGTGCTGAGGCCTCAGTTGACCAGTAGGATTCCGGTATCCAAGACACCACAAACTGCCCCTTGCATCTGCCATCCGAAATCAACAGCATCGTGACCCGATTACTCAGCGTCTGGCTGCAACACGAAACCAGACCCGTTGCGGTACGTCAGAGAAAAGTGAGCACATCGCCAACGCGAAAGTGGTGCGTCCAAAGAGGCGCCTGGCACGAAAAACGCGACTGCAACAGGCGGGGCTGCCAGGGCCAGGGAGGAGAAAACGGCGCTCATTGGGCACTGTATTCGCTGGAGAGACAGCACTGACGGCCAACCGAGCCAACTAGGCGCGTCCACTGCGAGAGGCCCCCCATAATATTGACCTCGTCCCATGCAGGTGCAGCGACGTCGAGATTCAAAACAAACAACAATAAACAGTTGAGCTGCAAGGACAAGGTGATGCTGCAGTGGGATAGTGACAATGCGCCTGGTTCCTTTTCAGCCCCCTCCATCCTCATGGTGTGATCAAATTTGATTACGACTGGTAGCATCGATTTTAATTACATGATGTACAGTACATGGCTGCAGACGGCCGTTGAATGCGCGCGAGGGCACGTGTGGGCACATACAAGTACTCCGTCCGTACCGGAACGAAGGCAGCAAGCGAGCATCCAGCACTGCAAGCGCTGGGCAAGAACGCGCATGCACACGTCTGGATGCGGTCGGCCTTCCTCTGAGGGCTGGCGGGCTGGTGTTTAATTGAGTTTCCAGCGCAAAAGCCGCCCTGCTTAAGACCCAGGGTACATGTACTTGTAGGTACCTTTGGATGGTACCTGTGCTGGAGAGAAAATCTAGTGGAAGCCTTTTTACTTTGATGAAAACCCATCGAGTTTTGGGTGTTGAGTAAAAAGAAAAGCCGTTTGCATCGCGTGAGTGAATTAAAAGCATGGATGCGTCGCAGTAGCAGGGCTATATAGTTTTAATCAATCATCACAATAACAATCAAACTGATCCCTTCGCCCTGGTTGTTTATTCCACCGGCGCAGCGAATGGTAGCAGCCAAAATGGCGTTCTGGTGTGTACATTATTTGTTGTTCAGACGCAGCCCGCGTTTTCCCACTAGCACCCAAACCGTCCAGTATTATTGTTCCACCCCCCTTTAGCACGTTAACGCCCCAACCAGGCCTAGCCCAGCTTCTCGCCAGGCGCACTGCCATTTCCCCAGCAGCTTCAAACCTCCCTCATCAGCCTCTCGCAGCTTTCACGAGCCCGTCTCGTCTTCATCGCCCCAACCCCCTCTCTTTGCCTCTGCGCCTTGCAAGACGGTTATCAAACAGCGATCGAACATCCCGGGGACATTCTACTTCTTACGACTTTCTTTTGTATTTGGACCATTCACGTCGTCCTAGTCTGTGCGATCGCTCTTCATTCGACACAACAACAACCACCCAGTGGCATGCGATAGGCCGCCAAACCCGCCCATCTCTTGGTTGACGCTGCTCCATGACCACCGGCGTTGGCCTCGCCCTGTGACTGGATGCGCGCTCGCTCGTTTCCTCACAGTCGCTGCTAGCATAACATCGTCCGTCTTTGACATCAACATCACCGTACACGGCATTTCCCCCGCCGCACAGCCCACGACCGAGCATCAAGGTCCAGATCCGACAGACGGTGCCGCTTCTGTCAGCCCAGATCACACCCGCCAGGCCCAAATTCATTATTCTTAGCATCATATAAGGGAACCTTCATTCACTCTGTCGATGCCATGGGTGCCTCCAAGAAAACCATGGGCGAGTCAAAGCTGCCCACCAATTCCGCTCGCATGTCCACTCCTCCTCCTCCATCAGATCGCGGCCGCCTAGACTCAAAACCAAATGCCGAGGGCAGTGGCAACACGATGCGACAGCTGCGAAGCAGGACCAGGGCTAGCGATGTGGCCCATCCAGCAGCTTTCGACGTCGATGCCGTCGACAGCCTCCTGTTGAGGGAACTTCAACCTCATCGTGAAAGCACTCCCGGAGCCAGTCCCCATCGCAAACGCCAGAGGATAAACGGCGATCGGTTGGTCAACCCCCCCCCCACTGGGACGCTTTACATGGTTCTAACAACATTTTTTTTTTAGTTTTATCCCTACTCGCACTGGCCAGGATTTGCAAGCC